AAAAATAAAAAAAAGGAGAAAGATCACCGCAAACAAACCACCCTCTTCCCGCCCATGCGTCTCCCCCCTCCTTAACCCTAACTCCTCCCGTCTTCCCAGCACCCCCCGAATTCACCAAGCGCTCGAGTCCCAAATCCCTCCAGACGGCCTCCCGCCGACGCTCCATAGCCCGACTAATCCCAAACGCGGCATGCTGGTCGGGGACAACATCGTCCTCGTCCTCGGGGTTCGGGGGCTGATACTGCGGCGCGACGTAGATGTCCTCGATGGGCAGGAAGGAGGGGACAAGCGTCGGGGACGAGGAGCCGTAGGTTACGGTGTGGTTGTTGTAGAGGTGGGATGTTGTGCTGGTGCTCGGGGTGGCGGAGGTGTGGGGGCGCGTGAAGTCTTCGAAGTAGTCGGCTAGACGGGGGTGGTGCATGTGTAGGTGGGTTGGGGTTGAGTCTTTGCTCTTTTTTCCTTGTTGTTAGTATGGCCTTAATGGGTGGGAGGGGTTGGTGGAGATTGGATTGCAGGGGTAGTTACCATTTTGAAGGGTTTGATGTTGAATTTGCGATTGGGGTTTATGGGTGCTTGGATGAGTGAGGTGTTGATAATTGAGAAGCTTGCTTTAGGATATTATATTGTCGATGAGGTGGATGTAGATGATGGATGTAAACATCTGGAATTGACGGCAGTATTCTACCGCTTTGGTTTATCTCCATGTGATCGTCATCTTATCACAAGTGGCATGGATTTTACTATTTTACGATTTGGATACAGTAGTATAGTGGCTGGAGTCGTGTACACATGCCATACATATTGAATCATACCCTCTGGCGAAGCCCGAATCTATTAAAAACCGATGGATATCCCGATAACCTGAGCTACATTTTTCATTTCACGAGAATCAAAGGGAACAAAGAACCACAGGACCCATCATTCACATATTCGTACTCATCCGATGCACGACCGGAACCGCGCTTGGCGGCAAACTGCCCATCTCTGTGACTACCATGTCGACGTACTCGGCTGGGGTCACGTCGTACATGATGTTCAAGAGCTGTAGATTAGGCGTTTCCTTCCAGTTTGCAAGAGGAGACGAGCCCTCGGGCAGGGGTGTCGACTCTGCGGGGGGAGCATTGGCGGCAGCCTTATTGCCACCCTTCTTCGCATCGCCTTTCTTCGTATCGGCCTCGTCAGCGGGGCCCGACAGACCCGTCACTTGCTTCAAGGGCTGGCTGGGGACGAGCTCGTCTGCGTCGGCAATTTCGTTGACGACAATGCTGTCGAGGGCGACACGGTCCGTGAACTTGACGGTCTCACAGCACACAATGACAGGTACCTCCACGCCGCCGGCGCGCTCCTTGGCCGACATGGCGACCAGCGCTGTACCGACCCGCGAGTAGAGTCGTCCGTTACTGGTCATGGCGTGTGCGCCGAGGAACACCTTTGTAGCATCCTTGATAGCGTGACTGATACCGTTGACAAGAGAATACTGAACTTCTAGACCCGCATTGGCCAGCGTGCGGGCCAGGTTCTTGCCTTCGAACAACGGACGGGAGTCGATGATGGACACGCGGAACTTCTTGCCCTGTTTGTGTGCGGTGAGAAGCGTCTGCTTCACGATCGAACTGCCGGCGAAGGTGACGATCACATCGCCGTCCTGGATCTTCTCTGCGGCGCTGGTCGCAATGACCTGGTCGGCCACGGTAATCTTTTCACGGATGAAGTTGTCGATAAAATCGCTCAGCGTGGCCTTAGCGCTGGCCTCGGGGACGGAAGGATCAATGGAGGAGATTGCCAGTTTAAGCGCACGGATAGCGTTACCCTGACTGATAGAGAGAGGACGGCATGTAGAGAGATAGGTAATCTGATGGGAGAGGTGGGTAGTCAAGTGACGGGAAAGGGAGGTGCCCAGGGGAGTCGTATAAGCCTCGATGACCTAAAATAACCACCACGATCAGCACAAAACAGCGCACCACCAAAAACAAAAACAAAAAGACCCCAATACACACCCTCTTGAAAGCAAGTAAGGTCGCCACACAGCGAGCACTGCTACCGCAAACGACATAATCCCTCATCTGCAGACCCAGCGCCAACACGGCGGGGTGTACTTCCTTCCCGGCACCGGCGATGGTAGTCCTCCTCGGCTGTCCATACAAATGACCGAAGACAGCGACGTTCTTATCCTCCTGCTTCTTTTTCTGTTCCGTAGCGCTGGCCTGTGTAGCCGATCCGCGTCGATGTCTCTGACTCTTGTATGGCTGTCCCGGAGCCTCCTTTCCTCCAGCGCCGCCTCCAGTTGAGCCCTTCTTGGCCGGTGCGGCGTTAGGCCCTGGTCCGGCCCCTGCACCACCACCACCACCTCCTCCGCTAGCTTCTCTTTCAGCCCTTTCTTTAGCTCTGCGGGCGGCCTTTTCGGCCTTCGCTTTTTTCTTCAGTTCAGCTGGGCTGAGCTTTTCCTCCCCTGGAGCTCCGCCCGCGGCGGGAGGGGCATCTTTGGACTTAGGCTGTTTAGGTGGCTTGGCGGGTTTGGATGCGCCGTTGGACGGCTGCGCGGGTTGGGAGGGGGGTTGCTGGGAGGACATGTCGGGGGTGGATTGTTGCGTCGCGGGCGCAGGGCTTGGTGAGGTGGAGGGAGGAGAAGTCTGCGCAGGGTCGACGGGGTTCGCATGGTGGGAAAAAGCGGGCTAAATGACGATGACGACGGAGCGGAGGGGCATTGGCGACTTTTTTTTCGATAGAGGGTTGTGGGGATTAAATGAGATTGGGACTTTCAAAGGAAATGTGACTTTGACTCACCCAATTCGGCATGATGCCATAAGCCGGCACTAGCACTAATGCAGCCCTAGTCTCGTCCACGCTGTGTAGTGATTTAGCCTTTCCAGTACTATAACTAGACTAGTATCTGTTGGCACTCTTTACATACATCCATAACTTGTTTCATATTTCATACGGAGTCTATTGAATCATAACCAATATCGGACATATATTCCATATCAAGTCAATCATTCAATCATGCGTCACACCCTAGAACTCGTCATTCATCACGGAATTAAAGGAAGCATACCAGAAAGAAAATAGAAACCATAAAGAATAAACAGTGAAAGAAAATCCCAAAATATCCGCCCAACACGAAAAGAAGATCCAGATATCATGAACGAAAAGCATGTACGAAAAGCACTCTGCCACCAGAACCCAATAGTAACCCAAACACCCAGAATTCCGCAGCGCCCGTCAATCAGAAAGCCACCCTGCAGGCCAAGCCGTCCGTCGTCCTCATCGATTATTCGTCCAAACTTCTCCTAGCGCTCGTCGTCGTTTCTGATCTCCCTGTTTCTGGCACGCTCGGAATCGCTCATGATCGGAGGCCAACTTACGCTTGAACAGGTTGATATCCATGAGCAGATCCTCCATATCAGCCTGCATGTCATGAGCCTCAAGTTCGCGACCCTTAATCCGGATCGTGTCCTCATCTTCCCAGATCAGGTCTGGCTCGGGTTCCATATCTGAAATTGGCGATCCGGGGCGGTTTTCCTTGTTGTATTCAGTCACAGGCGAAAGGCTCCCTCGGCGTTTCTCCACGGTCACAGGTGGGATCGGATTTCTCAAACTATCGAGAGCCAACTTGAGGTGATTGCGAAGTGCTTCATTTTCTGTCTGCAGCTGCTTGATCTTGCATTCACTGACCATCTTCGTCTCCTCCATTAATCGCTGCAACTTCTCCACCTTTTGCTGATACTCCTCCAGTTTCTCATTCTGATTCTCACTTTCTCGACGGTTGGCCGTCGCTAAACTGACACTGAGCTGCAGCGTCCGGATCGTCTCCGCCATTTCTGCAATCTGTTTGTCGCGCTCAGCAGCAGATAAATGGTCTTGGTTAACCCGAGCACGAGTACGGATACGTTTCGCTTGGTCTGCATAGCGGAGGGTAGATAGTGTCTCTTCGTAGTCTGACGGGGAAATACAGGCAATCATGGCGGTCTTCGAGTTGCCCCCTAAACTGTCTTTGAGTAACCAGGTGAGGATGGAGTCGCGATAGGGAACAACTTCCTTGCCCTTCCGCTTGCCGGACCGGCCTGCCTTTGGATCTGCCAAGGCGGCAATAACTCGACCCAATGTCGTGAGCGATTTGTTGATGTTCGATCCTTCGCGTAATCGTTGCCCGGTCGCTTCCGTAGACTTCGCTCGTTCCGATCCTGCCAGGTCAACAAGGCGGATTCGTGCGGTGCGTTCCGTCGTCTCGTCGGTTGAGAGGTCATGGTGGATCTGTTTCAGGGTGATTGTGAAGACGGCATGGGAGCGGGACGAGGTATCGTTCATCTTGGTGCTCGCTACCGTGCGGGAAACATCACCTTTGCGCATGTATTTCATAAGTTCAGCGAAGTTTTTAACCGTTGCCTCAGTCAGGTCTTTCACGTAGGGACCTTCAGAGGGTGACTCGCGGATCCGAAGGTAATGGGGCGGATCGGTCCGAGGGACCAGCAAGTCGCGCACATGTTCGTTGTAAACCTCGAAATAGGACACGCGGACGTTGAAGCTGATATCGGGCGACTGAACGCCCTCGATGCGCTGAAACAGATCCTCGCAGGTCCGTGGAATTAAGCCCGGCTGGTCCGGAGTGCCCATCATCGTGTAACTCTTGCCGGAACCTGTCTGACCATAGGCGAATATACAGGTGTGGTATCCTTCGAAGTTGTGATCGAGAAATTCTTCTCCCAGGCAGTTGTACACGTCCTCTTGGTGCGCATAATGATCGTCATCGGTATCGTGAGACCAGAACGAGTTGTCGAAGATGAATGATTTATCCTCCAGTACCTTCCCCCGTGCTTGCGACTTCGGCTTTCCTTCGTCTTCCGCATCAAGTTTGGGCGCCCGTAGTTTGGTCGTCTGCGTCCGGGGGTCCATGGTAATCAAGCACTCCGCATTGCGCTCAAGTTCTAGAATATCCAATTTTAGTCAACTGTCATCCTGGTACGCCTACCGGAGCGCACACGCCCTACATACCTCTGGGCAGGAACTTCCTGACCCGAACCACGACACGGACATTACCACCAGGAGACGGACTCGTGACGCCATCTTGATAGATGCCGTGCATGGTCCCGCCTTCCCTTGCGCGCAAAGAAGGGCTTGAAGCGTTCGACCGTAGCGCGGCCGCGGAAGCGGTCGTCGATCGGATTGATGGGCTGGTGATACTCGTTAGGGCGGAGATGTCGGAAGACGAGGCGGATGATTGTGATCCAGGCCCATAGCCATGACCGATGTGGTGGTAAAACCGAGGATCCAAGGACATATCCAAACTATGTTCCCTCAATAACTGTACAAACTGAATGCTGAGCTCACGTTGGCGATTAACTAATTGATGGTACATACAGACAAGTGCACCACTGCCGGAGGGAATGCGATCCGAAACGGTGTTCAAAAAGGGATAGAGACAAGACGCTGTGACCCGGCGCAGGGAGCAAGTGGTGCCTTCCCTTCTTGCGGAATAAGAGACTTGAATATAAAGGGATCAGTATCCACTCAAGATTGACAGGCACATTGACGCTCCTTTCGATCAGGGGGTAAACAGCCGAGAGTTAGTTCACTGGAGAGGGGTCCCTGCGATGGAAACTGAAAGAGAGAAACATGCAGTAATGAGCGCAAGGGGGGCGAACAAAGAGGCCCTGGTATCTCCAAAACAACAACTGAAGCAAAAGGAGGTCTAATAACAAACGCAAGCGTTTGCAATCGAACCTGAAGATAGACTCGGGCTTCACATGGCGGTCGGCCAGTGACGCTCGTTTGGGTTTTGCCGTTTCCGGAATGGTATAGGCCTCAGGCAGGGAGAAGCCGCCCCGCGGGCGGAGCGGTTGCCATAGCAATCTCCAAGATAACGACCTTGCCAAGGAAGTCTCGTCGTGGACCCAATGCATGTCATACTCATACGAGTTAATAATGTGGCTCATCTACAGTTACACATGTTTCCTCCATTCAACCCTGAAATGTTGCCGGTCGGATAACGAATGCCCCCGACACGGCGAGTAACTATATTTGGTTCATTCATGCATACATACGTACATTTCATTATTAACATTTTTGATCTTTTCTCCTCATGCAACGGGATCCATCAAGGAAAAGACAGGAGGGCGCCGGGTCGGACAGCGGCATGCTATGAGACAAAGAGTGACCTAGTGGTAGTCATGGAAGTCTTTATTCGCCGCTTCGTACGCATCCGCCTCGTCTTGACCGAGGATTCCTTTCGACAACTTGGCGCCATCAGTGTACGAGAGGTTCGGTACAGGGTTGCCGTGTTTGTCAACAGTGGTCTCCAGCATCTCTTCCGTATTCCATTTAGAGAAGTCCGGCTTATTGGAGCCGGTCGCGGAGCTCATTGCTTGTTGTACGGTCTCCTGACCCTGGCGTAACGTGTCCTGAGCTTTCGAGAAGATCGGCATGTTGATGACCTGCTAAGTCACTACCTGATACTTTCCTCGATTCAAGTTTGGGCACCCACGTACTAGTGAGAATCTGTGTAGACTGAAGTTGATAGTATAGATCAGTTTGGCAATACAATATTCGTGATGAAATAGAAGAAGGCGCTCGACTTGCGCGGGGTTTATTAATACCATCCTCGGTGGCGGGAATGGGTTGGTGATGACGACAGCTTTCATCACCACTTCCTGGACATGCTTTGTGTGCACAAGGTCATTGACTATAATGCGAGCCACTTATGGCTCGAGAGTCCGCAAAAGGAAGTTTGCCCCCCGAGTGGTATCCAGTCAGAACGACGGACGGTTCAGTCTGGACCGTCCATGCGCATGGGAAGGTTCTCCGCGCCGATCCAGGTAGCTCCGGTGATGGATGATCGGGATAAAGACCATATATGGCATCATGTAGCCGGGATGGAAGCTTGTTACTGTCGAAGGCAGCTGCCCGGGTGTTGTACTCATTGGCTAATCAGTCATGGTGGTGAAACCCTGGGCCAGAACATCGGGATGATGCAAGAATAGCGGGAAGACCCTATTTGTAGTAGCTGCGTACGAGTCACGGGTACTCGTAGTCAGCGTCAATTGAGGCAGTTGAAAACGTGACGTGACACTGAAGCGGGAAAATGTACCGCCAATAGTAGAGGATAACCAATGCACTGTGAAGTACCTGGGTAGAGACCTTGTTGGTCTATAATTGATCCAGTATACAAATTCAACGAGTGGACTGTTTACTTTCCTCCAGCTCCCTCTGTATACCGGCCAATGCGTCCTTGTAATAATTGATCTTTTCCTTGGTTTCTTATCTCTTCGGCACAGTTCCTTGCGAACTTCCGTAATATCTGCTCGTAGTCTAGATGTCTCCACATATCCGGCCTGAATGTATGCGCCTACTCGTAGTCGCCACGCTCGGCCCCCTCGAGGCCTCTACCTTAAATTCGCTCCGCATCTCTGTCTCTCTATCAACATCTTCTAATATGCTAGAGTGTCCAGTTCTCCCTAGTATTATAGCTCGCACTGACTTCCGTGTCGCTATTCTGCAGAATTATCTACTTTCTGTACAAGGAGATAACTTGTACTTGAAAATTTCAAGCTAATCCTTAACTCGAAACTTAGTATTGTACTTAATATTTATGTACCGATCCAGGGCGATCTATTCCTTGATCTAGATAATTATCCTCTAGAAACTTTTACTAGTAAACTGTTCAAATTTTTAGAAGATAGTAAACTGTTATAGATAATTGAAACCCTGGATTTTATCAAATCTAGTACTATAGATTGAGCGATGCCGAAGTTTCTACATATTTACTGGGATTACCAAGGAATTATATTATCTCTTGGGAGTTCTATAGTAGAATTGAAGAGTGGACCCTGTGTAGAAGCTCCTGTATATATACAAAGTCCGACCAAAGCTAATAACCCAGATTGGTGTTGAGACTACACTTGGAGGGTCAGTATCATTCCATGCGTAGCATTTGAAAGAACGCTGAGGGTTATCACAGCTTCGATCTAGAGACCCTGCCGTTTGTGACAAGCTTCCAGGTGGAGTTATCAACTTATCTGATCCTTCACATCATCTCACTCCTGCTACATGAATTCCGAGCGTAGACGATCAAGGACTTGAGCTCAAACCACCACGGGAAAGGCAGTGGCCCGGCCCACGCAGATCCGATAGATAACTCACAGTCCCACTATAGCTCAGGAATATTAGTATTAGGTTGTATCATTGAGGGGTTTAGGCCAAATATTTTGCGAGCTTGGAATGAACCAGCCTGGCCAATTATCTGACGTTGTGGTTGTTGGTTCTTTACAGGGGAGATTGACGCAGCAATTAAATGCCAGCCACTTCAAGTTGAACAAAGAACTTTTGGTCACCCCCTGAGTTCAGTGTAGCTTGTCAACCAGAATGTCTCCGAATCCTCCCACAGAAAACGAAGGCATAGTGACCGATGTCAGTGAGTCGACGATATATGGGGAAGCGCCAGACACGGATAATTATGTCAAGTTCTCAAGTCTGCTCTTGCTGTCAATCATACTGTGCTTGGCGACTCTGTGCGTAGCAGTAGACAACACCATAACTTCGACTGCAGTGCCTCGGATCACCCATGACTTCCACAGCATTGAGGATGTGGGTTGGTATGCAGCGTAAGTCGTTTCTATCACCTGTCGATTTGGAAGTGAAATTCTGGCGGAACATTAACGGATGGTGCAATAGAATTTACCCCTTGACCTCCTGCGCATTCCAACCTTCCTTTGGCAAGATCTATACGCTCTTCTCCAACAAACCCGTCTTCCTGGCAGCGTTATTGATATTTGAGATCGGAAGCACTGTATGTGCGACTGCACCGAATTCGAACGTTTTCATTTTTGGGCGGGCACTAGCAGGTCTAGGGTCTGCTGGGATACAAGCAGGCACTACGCTCATCCTCGCTGAGTGTGTGCCGCTACACCGGCGACCGACATGGAACAGCATTGTTGGTAGCATGTTTGCAGTCGGGAGCGTAGCGGGGCCTTTATTGGTATTTAGATGTTCCTTATCTAGCAGTCAGTTGCATTGATTGACAACTGGCGCAGGGAGGAGCCTTTTCAGATTCAACTACATGGCGTTGGTGTTTTTACATCAATCTTCCAATCGGAGGCGTTATCATAATCTTCATCGCCTTTTTCTATAGAAGGCGCGGTGGCGCGAGGGTCTTGGAGTCGGCCAGACTTTGCAATCAGATCGCGCGCTTCGACTTGGCTGGTACTTTCACCTTTGTATCAGCAACGATCTGTCTTCTTCTAGCACTGTCATGGGGCGGGACGACATATGCATGGGACAACCCCCGTATCATAGCCCTGCTCACGGTCGCTGGTGTCGTATTCTGTTCCTTTGCCTTCATCGAATACTGGACACAAGATCGTGCCATCGTTCCTTTACGCTTACTACGTAGGCGAAGTATAAGTGCGGCGATCTGGTACAGTCTCTGTCTGGGAGGCGTATTCTTCGTACGTATGTCCAACCCAGACTTCATTTCCATCTGGCTGACCAACATGCTTCCACCGCCTCAGGTCAATGTTTTCTACATACGTGAGTAGTGTTTAAACGTGTTGAAATAATTAAAATAAATACTAATTTCAATTTGAGCGCTCTGGTTTCAAATGGTCGATGGTGTCTCTGCCGTCAAATCTGCCATCCTGTTCATCCCATTCATGCTCAGTGTCGTCGGTGGTTTCATGATCTCGGGCTTTGGGACCGCTACGACGGGATATTATACACCTTTCGTCTACGCGGGGTCAATGTTTATGTCGATAGGTACCGGCCTATTGATGACGGTTCGGCCTCATCACACCTCGCGAGCGAAATGGGTTGGATATCAGATCCTATGCGGCGCTGGAATCGGCCTAGGGGAAGAACAAGGGCTATACATGGTCCAGACAACCCTTCCTGAAGATGATGTGGCAACTGGGGTTGGACTCATATTGTTCGCGCAGACCTTTGGTGGAGCCCTCTTTGTGTCAGTTGCACAGGCAGTTTTCCTGCGCAACATTAGCGAGGCATTGAAAACAATGGCCCCGAACCTGGACCCTCATTCTGTTCTGGACGGCACATCGATAAACTCCTCTTATGCTCAGGCATCTCCAGAACTACAGGCAGGCTATGGCATGGCGATCAAAGATGCTCTCCGTGTTGGGCTTGTCCTCGCGACGGTGTCGAGTCTAGGTGCCGTGCTGTACGATTGGAAAAGTATGAAGACTAAGCGCGATGATGGGAACAATGAACCAAACAGGGACCGTAGACTGGAACCTACAGAGACCTTCAGATACTGGATATGAAGTAATGATTCAGGTTATTACCTAGATACACACCTGCCTGTAGCATTTTATATAATCCTCTAAGTTCTAACTCTCGTTAAACTTATAGATTGACTATCTATAATCTATGTGAACTATTTAAATAAGTAAATAGCTTATACAGTTTAAGCAGTTCAAGCTAGGGGTAGCGGCTAGAGCGTAAAGTCAAGATTTATAGATAACTAGGCAGAGCTGTAGAGATGGATCGGCGGAGCAGAGAACCAGTGTCACTCTACTCCGTAGGTGAGGCCGAAGAGCGGGTCTAGTAACCTACATGACAGCCATTCCACATTCTTGAAATTCAGCTTACACAGCTCTAAGAATTTTTTTTTTTTTTAAAAAAAGAAAAAAAAATCTGTCACAAAAGCCAAGGAGAAATATATTTGGCGGTTTGTATACAACAGGTAAAAACCGCCTAATTTCCTAGTATAAAAATATGTTTCAAGACCGATTCTAAATTTTATGAAAGACTGGTAAAATGTCAAGCATTTCATGAAATTTTGAAATTTTGGACCCATCCCAACTCCGAAGTACCTGGGGACTCTGTGATTGCTTCGTCGTCAGCCCTATCCGTGCGGGGCGGGGACCTGGTCCACTTGTGAAGTGAAAATGGAGATTCTTTCTGTAGCAGAAGCAATACAATCCAATGGTTCTGCTTAGGGCCAATGTCGCAATCGCGAACCAGGCCCAGAAAACTAGGCACCAGCCATTTGCAGTGACCGGAAGACTTCAACCTTTCCGAAATAGTGAGGGTCAATTTGCTCCGAACGACAACGATCATCCCTAGTCTATAAACTATGGCGACATCGGACTCTCTCCGACCCCAATGACTCCAACTGCAAAATTTGCGCCCGCGCTCTCAAATCTGCCATTTCACCCTCCTTGGTACATTCACTGCCAGCATTTCAAGGCTATAAGTCAGGACCACACTGCGCACACGATTCTTTCAACCACCTGAGCCCCTGAATCCATATCCGATCCTCATCAGACCCGATTGTAATCAATGAGCGGAAATCCGTCTTCGGGCGACCTGCCCGACCTCGAAGCCCACCAACCACCAGCGAAACCCTCTTTCTCAACATGGTGGACCCAACCCGTGGACGTCAAGTATACCGACCTCATCTGTCTTCTGCTCTGTTTCACCACCGGGCTCTGCGATAGCAGCGCCTACAATGCATGGTCCTGTTTCTTGGCGATGCAGACCGGTATGTTCCGACAGCACCCACCCCCTCCGAAACAATGTACAATTCCTGATACTGACTGACCATGAACAGGAAACACCATTTTCCTCGGGCTAGGAGCCTCAGGCCAACCAACCAGCAAGCCCTGGGGCTGGTTGAAGTCGCTCTGTTCCATCGCATTCTTCTTCATCGGCGCGTTTATCCTCTCGAATGTCACCCGCCGCGCCGGAGCCCGCACCCGCGGCACGCTCTTTCTGTCGTTCGTATTCCAGTCCCTTCTGGTCATCATTGCCGTCGCCCTGATCGAAGGCGACCTCATTCCGCACACCTCGGACGATGCGTCTCTGACCGGTGGGCCTCTCTTCCTGGAACTGATCCCCATTGCACTCTTGGCGTTCCAGTCCGCTGGCTCCATCACCTCCAGTCGGGCACTGGGGTACAACGAGATCCCGACGGTGGTTTTGACCAGCGTGTATTTCGACGTCGCATCGGACCCGAAACTGGCGGCCGTGCCAACGACCAACGCGAAGCGGAACCGTCGTATCGGAGGTGTGGTGATGCTGTTGATTGGGGCTATTGTCGGTGGATGGTTGAGTCGGAGCAGTGGGGGGATGCAGTCGGCCCTGTGGATGGCTGCGGGGGTGAAAATGGTGATCGCTTTCGGGTGGTTGGCGTGGAAGGCGGACGTTGCGCCTTCAAAGTGATCGGTGACTAGTGATGGGTAGTCATGATGATACGCTGGGGGTTTAAGATGTTTAATGGAGTGGGTATAAGCGCTAATATGTGATAGAGCACTCGAATAGACTAATTTAGACACGTAGATAAATCTTCTTTTTGTATTTTCTCCACCTATGTCATGCAAAACTATAACGTGTCACCGGATGCGCTGCCGGATCTGCAACTTAACTGTTGTTTACGTGCTTAAGCTTCCGCTGCATAATAGCACCGCCCCCCTTGCATCTAGCGATATGATTGAGGTACGCAATTGCTCCGTACGAGCTGGAACAACCATTTCATTAGGGCTCCACTTACACATACCATTGATCTTTCCAGCCACGTTTCTAGCTAATTATGGATCTGTTCTGTTTGGTTACTTTGCAATGTGTAGGGCGTATTTCGATCGAGAGAGAAATAAGCGCGGAGAATTGGAGCCACTCAAATTATTGCTTTTCATTTATAAGTTTTTACTGGTTCAGACATTACGCAAGAAAATGGGTTGATAAGATGTGGATCAACAAAAAGAAGAAGAAGGAGAAGGAGATGTAGTTTATTGGTACGACAATCCAACTATTCAACTAGAAAAATTGAGTATATACTCAGCAAGCGAGATCTTCTATATTGGATTCTCACACAAAGGACCTCATTGGCCAAACAATGGGTTTCATCAAACAAAGAAGCAAAGAGGAAGTCTATGCTTCATCCTGGCACCTCCATAATGTTGCTCTAGAGTAGTATACAAGGATATACATAGGAAGAACGACGAGAGGCTTACTCGAAGGCATATTGATATTATACTACGTTGTTCAGGCCGATACAGCTCTTTCAAGGAATAGATAAAATAGGAATACGTTTCCGAATTACATATACATTCCAGGGGCACATATCTTTAGTACTCCAGTACGCCAAAGAGATATTCTACAATACTCCACCCGCAGCCACAATGAATTCATTTTTTAGGTGCCGACTCACATCGCTCCGTCTCAGCCCTTAAAGCAATTGCGAGCAGAATCCGGCCTAGATCTTTCATATCCCCAGCTTTGCACGTATCCCAAGGCCCGAACTCATGCAGTGTCAGAAAGTCAGGCGATTCCTCCTGGCCCAGTGTATTGTTTAAATATTTGACATAATTCGCGCTGTACTCGGCAAAGGTGAGGTAAATCTCATGTCGGTCTTGGGAGACCAAAACACGACTAACTTGTCAGTACGCGTAAGACACAAGCAATGGTATAGAGAGGTTCACCCACCTGCCACAACTACTTACGAAGCCAGCAGGGTCAGGCTCGGCTTTGATCCAAGCAACCATTTCGGCTGCCTCCTGCATTGCAATGCGTGCGAATTGTTTTCGCCTTAACATTGGCTTTACTTCCACAATTGCGTAAGTCTTCAAAGTTTCCGAATTCCCGCCTTCGAGACACCCGTCCGTACGAGCTTCAAAGGAACCATGCCTAAAACTGGCCACGAAAGGTTTCCGATATAGCGTCCAATAAGACCCGAAGCGACGATGGATAATGAATGCATTGAGAAAGTCTACCAATGCTGTATTCACGATTTGCTCGTCTTTAGTCTTTGGGTAGTTGAGGTCTAAAAGCTCCTGGGGTCCATATGACCGTTCCCAGGGAGGTGTTTCCTTAGCGACACTGTCCACCGTGGGTGTATCATTGAACTCGCCGGGCGACTTGGGCCTGGGCGTATTGGGTGGCTCACTGGGTACATCAAATGAAAGCTTTTTGATGCCTGCTGCTATATCCTTCAGCCGAGCGCTTCTACGAGGCGGACTGACTGCAACATTGGGCCGAAACGTGGCATCCATCGGGATGTGAGCAACCTGCTTTTGATAGAACCGAGGTAAGGCAAATGTCCCCTCCTTCAATTCAGTAGAGAAGCTTGCAAGGTAATCTGTCCATGAGCGACATTTTCCCAACATATTGGCTGCATTCTTAGCCCATTCATCTAATCCAAACTTTGCTAGACTCAACCTGTAATACGGGAGCGATTTCCTCAGGACGCGAAGCATCAGGTATTGCTCTTCTTGTATAGATGAAGCTGAACTAAGATCAATCTCATGGATTGTCTTATTCTCTATCTTCTCTCTCTTGGTTGCTTGCACCCACACGCCTGGTCTCTCTGGTAGGGATCTATCGACCGACGCCATCTCGATACGCAGAAACAGGCCTCATAAATCAGTCTAGAGGACACGCACACACAAAGAAGAGCAAGGATTAATAAGAGGGAAGAGCTTAACGATGAAAAAAAAAAAAGGTTAGCAGAGAGGAAAGAGGAGATTGGTCAAATGCAAAGCCTATATATGCCACATTTCAAGGCCACGATTCACTGCTTGGAAACCACTACCCGTGAGGTTGAGTGGTAGCCGACCACATCCTGACATGGAGGTCGGCCGTCGAGCCTGCCTAGGGCAGTCTCATTCACTTCCAACTAGGTTGTTCTCCCCATTCACCCCCCTCATTCAATGTGAGCATGAGGATTGCCCAACCATAGCATCGAGATAGCCGCTGTCGGCGCATTGACATCCAGTCGGACCTTGGTCACATTGCTTCTTATATGTACCGATCAGTCAGCGCATTCAATAGAAAGAACTGACTGTACTATGAATACTATTTTTAGGAATAGAGGTGTGGGGAAGAGGATTGACAGGGCACTAGGGTATGTACTAATAGGTAGTTTAGCAGTAGCCGAAGGAGCCATCAATAAATATTTATGCTTGACGCATCGTGATTGGTGGATTGGGGGTTGCGGCGCAACCCCACCGAGTTGAAGGAACAAAACAAAAGCGGCCAACATCTCGTTCTACGTCTACCTTCATCCACTATCCACCCCCAAGTCATTCTCCACCAAATCTCTTCGCTGATACAGTACATCAATCATGCCGACTCAAGTAGGCGAAATGGTGCTTGAACGTCGCACACATTACCGTCGCGCGCTCCGAACGATCATGCAGACAATCTGCCGCCTAGAGACTGAAAACATCGACCAGCATGACGCAGAAAAGGCGGGTATTCAGCAGCGCTCCATGTCATTAGAGTCAAGTTTCGACAAACCCTACTTCTTCATTCCTTACCAGGATGAATACCACCCGACAGAGCGAGAGTATTCAACATATGTCCCCGACGTAGAAGACCGTTTGAATTGCGAGGGTTTCCATCTCTACATGGACAGCTGTATTAGCCAAGTATATCCAGAAGATGACAATAGGCCTTTTGGCGTTGGCTACAAAGCGTATGTATCCTATTTGTCGTCCAGGATCCACTCTCCTGTCTGCTAACAGTGACCGTCTAGGTGGCCAGACCTCAACCTCGGTGAGCTAGCCGAATATTCCAAGTACTATTGGACGGCATCCTTCACTGGCTTTGCACTACCCACTCATGAGCCTTTACCCCATATGAAATGTCTCATACACAGCGAAGCGACTGGAGACAATCGCTTACTTCGAGGTGAACTCATTGCCATTGTAAAAATCATGACTGCTCGGTTGAACACAAAGTCCCTCCGCCCTCATACAGTGGCCCCTGTAAGTTACTGTTCCTTCTGCAAAGATGATATCTACATGCCATACCATGGTTGGAGCTCTGCTAACAGAAGCTGTCATTCAGGTCCTGCTATACTCTATAATGGGCCCACAGCAAATACGTGTACTGGAGGCTTATTTCGACGGCAAGAATCTTATCATTCGAAAGACCAAGCTGTACGATATGAAGCAGGAGGATATGGAAACGGTAGACCTACTTACCCGGTGGTGGCTAGGATTTGCTGTCGGCGAGACGAAGTCAATCAAAACAGCCCCTCTTCCTTAGCCACTTTAGTATTATGCATTGGGTGGCGTTCCAGGCGGGTGTTGGGTACTTGGCCGATAGGATGGGATGGCTTCTTTTCTTCTGGGTTTCTTTGGCGTATTATGCAGGATTTTCGGCGTACTGGTATCAATTTTTTATTTGTCAAGTGGATTCGGCACTTGGAACCTCTGCTCATACTTGAGACAATAGTAAATAATACTCTTACCAACAAATATGTTTGACCACACAACACACTTTGACTGGTGATTGACATAGCTGGATAGCACTACTGAAGCTCTTCAACATTATAAGGAACATATTAGCTAGGCTAAGTTCCGGTGAATATCTCTGTCTATTCCGTAAAGTACTAGCAAACGTTAATATGTATTCTTAATTCCCCTCAACTCAGTAAAATCAACTTTTCACAAACCTACTAAGATGGTGAAAAGGTCTGATAAGCTAGTGTGTGTATCCATTGTAATATAGAACGTATACAGTCCCCATCAAAAGTTTCCGTTGAATGCTTGTTTTACACCAAAGCTTGATGTATTTGAACAGGGATTTCTCCGCGAAATCGAATATAAAGAGAACGTTGGCAGTCTTAATCAACGGTATAATAAGACCAAGCTCAAGAAAGAGGGCAAGGAGTACAACAGTTGCATTGAATACCTTGACTCGGATGTAGCAGCCGCAACCGCACAACTTATTTCGTTTGAAGAGCAAATGCAGAAGGATAGAAAGGTCATTGTAAGTTACATTGACACATCACAACTTCAGAGTTCGAATTACTAATGCAACCAAAGCGTGGCTCTGAGGAAGATCAAATGAAATGGTTTTGGGTCCCTTTTTGGGGCTGGAACAACTCGATTCAGATGTCGAAGAAGACTGAAGAGGCCACCAAGACCTTCGAAGCAACAAGAAAGAAGCTCATCGGGCGAGGTGGTAAGACGATGCAGGTCACGCGACTTATCAGTATTCTCAGGCCCCTGTGCTTTCAGTTCGATGATCTAATTGGGAAGATGGGGACTGCGATTACTGCTCTCAACGAAACGGTCCGACTCTTTGACTCTCAGGCCAGCAACTACAGTTCTATTATCATTTCATTGGAAAGGATGAAACTCGGAGTGGACTCTAGGGACTTTGATCTGCGTGATATGAACATCGAGAGCGGAATCCACCGGGCGGTGGAATCATTTACCAAGGTCAGATGCGGTCTTTCTCCACCATTAACAATCTACCAAATTGGCTAACCGAATGTTTATCTAATAGGTCAAAAAGCTGGCTGAGGAGTTTCAGAAGACCGCTCTTCTTACCATACAGGGAGGTGATGGTGATAAACTTTGAAACAGAGCTGCATAGTGTATCTCAATCTCTCCCCCTCTCCCTTTGGAACTAGGATTCGAGGTAACGGATTTATGTTTGCTATTGCCAATGACCAATTTAGTAGCTAGGTAATATAGAATGGCCTTAACGCGTTATTATTCTGTCTTAGATATTCAACAAAAGCACCCTTTCTTGGAGTATTTACATACCTAAAGTAAAGTTTGAAGGGTTTGTTGCGAATGGTTTCTTCATTCCATCTATAACTTAGTATTCTGAGTTCAGTTAGAGGTTAGAAGGAAAATATCTTCGAAATACTGTATTATAACTTGGGTTTCAGCACCAGTTTGATACCTGAAACCTGAAACACAAGCCGGGGTTTACCCCGAAAACAAAATGGATATATATGATCAGTGGACCCAATCGGCTGTCCTTGTTCGTCGTCGAACAGAAGAGTAAGTGGTAATATTCAGGGTCTAGATAATACATAGTAAACGATAATGCCAAGCGCGATATCATTCAATCTGGTACTTCGGGCCCAAAGTAAGTTGGATATATACCAGATATTCAATATATGTCCAGCATCCGTGGTCCGAGAGTCATATCTCATGATATAACACTGTAGGCCGTACAAGGTAGGGTACATCGTATGGGTTATTACTGATATCAGAAGTCTCCTGTGGATCATGCTAATACGCTTTATATTATCCGTCAGGTAGGGCTACTACATGGTATCGTCTTTTTAATAGTCTTTTAACGGCCGTGTCTAGGGATCAGGAGGGTGCTGATTGCATGCAAAGCGTTCAGAAAAGGAAAGAAGTACGAGGACTGGAAATAAGGCTGGCCTGCGGGGAAGGTCGATTTGGTAGCGAAGTGTTGCCGGTGGATCGGCGGTCAACTTCTGGATAGAAGCCCTAAAAGTATTAAAGGGTTAGCATGTAATCCTAAAACGGGAAGCAGTCACGCAGGTATAAGGCAAAACCCCTTTGTATAACACGGGTTCTCTATAAAGAAGCATGCATACCTAACATCGAATGATCATGATTAGATCATCTGCTGTGATGGTTGGTATAAAAATGTTCGGGAAGGACTGTGGGTCGAACGCAGAGCTTCCAGAACATGACACATGACGTCGAGACTGCTGGATATACAAAATCCCCCGGATTTGGCTACAAGATTATGCAGCCGGTTTCGATTTGAAATAGAAACGCCAAAATTCTGTGGCGGACCACGGAACCAAATGACTGCATGAATGCGGCATTTACTCCCATCTGTCACATCTTGTCTTACTCATGTTAAACTTTTCGTCTCCGTACCCTTTGCGGCTGTGTCCGCTGCCAGCTGTCAATTCTCTCCTTTGTTACTTGGTTAATCCCGCACATAAATAGCCCTAACTCTTCCCAGCCCCTACAAGTCTCCCGCATCCAATTGACGAAATATCTCGTCGCTTGGAAAATTCACTCATTCTATCTTCGATTGAGAATCGAAACACATTACTTTTCCTTCATCAATGGCATTTACAACGACTTCTGAGATCCTAAGCTGGCGTAAGAAGTATCCAATGCAACGACACAACTAAGCGACCGATGCTTCACCACCCATAACCATGTCAGCACTCTACAAACTGGCGGCAGTCAACAATGGCCCCGAGACCAGCTGGGACGACAACCACATGAGACTCCTTGCTCGTCTGACCGACGAGGAAATCGAAATCCTCCAACTTCCCTCGCCCAAGTGTTCGGCCAAACGCATCTCGGCCGAGCTGTGCCAGACGCCAGCGCAAAAAGACCGCGTCATGAGTCCTCCCTGGCGACTCGGCATCTGCGCCATGGAAGACAAGGCGCTCAGCAAGGCCAACCAGGAGATATTCCGTCGCCTACAGATCGACGGTCTTATCGAAGTGGTCCTGTTCGGCGACAAGACGCTATTGAGCAAGAAGCCGGAGGAATGGCCCGTATGTGATTTCCTGGTCGCATTTTACTCGGATGGGTTTCCCCTCGAGAAGGTCGTCTCGTACACGAGACTCCGCTCGCCGTTCTGCTATAATGACTTGCTTATGCAGGGTGTGCTCTTTGATCGTCGCCTCTGTAATAGAGTCTTGGATCACCTGGGTGTGCGGACTCCGAAGCGCCTTGAGGTGAACCGTGACGGTGGTCCCAGGGCTCATGATTGGGGTCTCGTTCAGCACGTGTATGATCGGATTGGGCTGGGAATACCTGGTCCTGCGGAAGGAGAGGCAGCCCGTGAACGATCCCATGCACCGAGCGTGTCTCTTTCGGACGACGGGAACACGCTCCTAGTGGACGGCCGAACGCTCCACAAGCCCTTTGTGGAGAAGCCCGTCAGTGCGGAGGACCACAACATCTACATCTACTTCCCAACAACTCCCCAGGGTACCGGCGGTGGGAGAAGACTGTTTCGGAAAGTGGGCAACAAGTGCTCCGAATACGACCCTGACTTGGTCGTGCCCCGGTGTATTACCGAGCAGGGGATGACCAGTAGCTACGTGTACGAGCCGCTCCTGAACGCCGACAATGGAGAGGATGTCAAAGCCTACGCAGTGGGCCCCAGTACTGTTTTGCGGTGACGCGGAAATCGCCCGCCGTCACAGGCGTGGTCCATCGGGATGCGAGTGGCAAGGAGGTAAGACTACCCACCGAGGTGAGCAAGGAGGAGGCAGACGCGGCCGCCAAGATCTCAACAGGATTTGGTCAGTCTGTCTGTGGGTTTGACATCGTGCGCAATAAAGGCAAGAGCTACGTGATTGACGTAAATGGTTGGACCTCGGTGAAAAATCAGCCTAGCTTCTACGGTCAATGCGCCGATATCCTGCAGCAAATGCTTATGTCTCGTGTTGCTCATGGGATTGCTAAGAACTGAGACTAGCTTGTGTAGATAAGTTATGTATCCAGTCGTGTACATAGTCTAGATCCATGGTATAGACAGGCAGGACAAGGTCTTTCCAGTCTTCATTACTAGTTAGGGTCAAATAATAGTTGCGTAACCTCACTGAGTCACCTATCAGTCCACATCTTGAATGAAGTAGCCTATTAGAACTACCGCATTACCATCGTTGGAAAATTGCTCATGGTTGAAGGTGACCTGCCAGCCTTCTTTCGGGGTTGGACCCATATTCTCGGACCAACGATCAGACTTTTTTCTTCCGGGTAGGGTTACATGCAGGCTGCAAGCTATGCTGGCTGTGCAATTGCAACGGTGGAGCGAATATGGCACAGACCAGGTTGAGTCTAAAATGACATCTTGCTTGGACCCTAACTAACCCAAGACCTCGTGAAGACCCTCTTTTAGGGACCTTTGGGGAACATGGAATGGGTCGGTTGACATTCTGTCCTGGTTCGACCGGTGGGTCTTGTTGGTGGAATAAGAAAAACTAAGAAAATATTCTTATGTAAAAGAGAGTAACAGCAAAGATAAATAAAAATAAGCACCGTTACCGTGTATAGTATATAAGTCTATATCGCACGAATTCCTCCATCGTCCAGACTCTGAATCAATCCTTCCAAGATTATTGTTTCTACTGTGAACGCGATACTGCTGAATATACATCTCTACCTTTGTCATTACCATAACTCTTTCGAATGGCTGATTCTAAACTTATGAGCAATTCTACTGTGATCGTATCCCTGATCCCAGTATCCCTGACCGACCTGGAGGCAATTTGCGAATTTGCAGAAGTGACTCGACCCCCCTAGAGCCCTAATCTCATCCATCCTGTCGGCTATATCTGTTGAATTTATGGCCACCCCATTTGGACAAAATGAAGCATTACAAGCCAACATTCCGGTGCGAGATTGAGGGTGTCGCAGAGACGCAAAACCTGCCCATCGAACAAGATGCGAAGGAGGCGAAAGACGGCATCACGACAACAGCCGACGAGGTCACTGGATACAAAGTCAAGGCAAGTCCTCGGCTGCTGGATCGGTGGCTGGACAAAGTTGTCCGCATTTCTGGGTCTGCACCAGTCTTCTGCTTTATCGTTGGCGCCCTTCTCGTTTGGGCTTTCCTGGGTATTCGTTTTGGAAAATCAGCTAAATGGACTGCCGTCATTTCAGATGTGCAGGCGATCCTGTGCTACGTGTTCGACTCTTTCCTCATGCGCCAACTGCTCCGCGAATACTCCGAGCAGCAGGAGGCCATGGCCCAGATGAAGTCGAGACGGAACAGCCATGAGCGAATGCTGACGAAGCTCAAGAACAAGCTGGGGCCGGAGGGAGTCTGTCATGTATCACAAATCAGCAGCAATCGCACCTTGGATGCGCTGGATCAAGGGACGCGGACACAAGGCTGGTTTGCGCGGATGATCATCTTCTCCGCGTGGGCGTTCGGACATATCATCACCGTGGGCATGTATTGGGTCTGCATCTTCATCTGGCTGGGCTTCGGACACTACTGTGGCTGGACGGACCAGTGGCAGCTGTACATCAATTCAGCAACATCAGCCCTGATGGTCCTGGTCTTCGCTTTTCTGGATTGCCTACGCGAGTGCTATGCCGACTATGTCAACAATTGCCTGGACGCCATCTTCCGCCTCGATGCCACGCTCGAGAAGGAGCTCCGCTGCATCACCGACGACAATCTGCCGAACGAACCCGAGGTAATCCAGCCGCCGCGTGAGAACCCACTGCAAGTAGCCGTATTCTACTACGCCGACATCATCGGGACCCTGGTCGGGATTATCATCCTGGTGGCCGTCATCGTCGCATGGGCCGCCGTCGGACCGGTCTTCCACTTCAACGACAACTGGTGGCTCCTGATCGGTACATATGCGGGACTGGTCGGGCTATTTGACAGTTTCATTCTGCGGAATGTCCAAGGCAAGGTGAAGGAGTACACGGTCGGACAAGTCCAGAGCCTGGAGAAAAGAGACATGACGCTCTTCGCCAAGACACAGATGGCCATTCCGCCCAAAGACGATCTTGATACATCGTCTGTCACCCACCGGATCTCGATCGCGATGGGGAATGTCTGCTCGCATCTGCTGATGGTGGTTGCCGGCTTCTTGCTGACTATTGGGTGTGTGATCGGCTCGAGTGCGATGCGGTGGAGTACGACGGGGCAGTTGATTTCGAATATCCCGCCCAGTATCATCGAGACCTTCTTCATGCTTATCTTAATCACTGGCCAGAATGATGCAGATGCCGGCGCGAGGGTGGATATGACGAATATCTATCACCGTCGACAGAGACTCTTGTGGTTTGTGAAGGATGCTCGGGAATACTTGGGGACTCGAGAGTCGGCAGATCTCGCTAGGAAGGGAGAAAATTAGTTCTTGGAGGGGTCGTGATTAAACTTGGCTACAGAATTGGTTCGCTTCAACATGCGTTGCAGTTGGCTTGTTTTTTGGTTTTCCTTCGCTCAACCGATAGGACCCGTATAAAAGCTATTATTTGGTTTTCTGTATTTTGCCATTTGTCTTTCTTATGTTTTTACCACTGTTGTCGTTCAACTATTTGACTAAATCACATGAATTAAACGCAGTACATAGTATATTTGAAAGCATCTCATAGGCCCCAGTAAACCTAGATCAATCACACCCAGCATTATCATGTGCCCCCCCTCCACTTCCCCTAAAATGTGACACTAAAAGTGGTAGCATAAAAAAAACATACTTAGGTAGCAGACCAAGGTGCAGCGTACCACAGCTGCTACCAATACCAAAAACAACCCTCCCGAAATTCATTCAAAACAAAGAACCCATCAAACCAGAAACAACCCAACTAAACCCAACAAAATCCCTCACCTTATTACATACTACCCTGTACTCTGACATACTACGAAGTAAACCTGTCCTAGTCCAAACTAACCCACCAACGCCGCTAATCCAGACCCTGCAAGCCATAGGGCTGAGCGACCCACATGTAACCGCGATAACGCAAAAGCTTAAATTCCCGCAAATGCCTCACTCTCAGTGGATGAAAAATAAAGCTCAATAATTTAGCTCGATTCTCGAAAAGCTGTTGCCTACTGCACTGCCTCCTTTTTGCATCTGTGATACCGCATCTACCTGCTTGTTTGGATTAGCTTGTTTTCTTTTTGATCTTTTGCCGAGGAGGAAGGGAATAATAATGATAAGCATAATAATATTATTATTAAAAAGGGTGACTCATGGTGTGGGTGACGGTGAGGTGTTTTTTTACGGGCGAATGGGATGGTGTTTTGGGTTTTTCTTTTTGCTTTCTGTGTTGGTCTGTGCTTTGGATTATTGATTCTTGTTTTTTTAGATGGTTGGGGCGTTTGCATGATAGTGAAGTTAATTAGGTGTTTCGATTATGTTATATCTAGAGGGTTTTTATGGTTTAAGTATTAGAGTGTGTCTGTTTTTTATATCTGACAGGATAGCTGTCTAGACGGAAGAGAAAGAGACGAGCTCAGAAGAAATGGGACTTCTCGGCCGACGGAAGAGTACTCGTTACACTAGAATTAGTATGGCAGTATAACATGCGGTAGTGTGACTGAGCCTTCTGGATAGTGGGCTGGTCATAGTACTCTGTGCTATAGTATACCAGTGGCAACAGAGCAACAGCAACCCTGACACCCCGAGACCACAAAGTATTCTACAATAAGGACAATGGCGAGTGATCGAGTAGCGGGTGGGTCAACCGAAGACCACTCAACGTGGAAAAGCAGACTCAATAATGAGATAAAGGAATGCCAAGTGAAAGCACGCAGTCATCCACCCGAGGCGACGGTAACAGCCGGGAGTACTTCAGTCTTGGTAATAATGTCACTGGATCGCGTTTGAGTCTGCCCGAGAGACTTCTGTATAGCAGCTCTTTGGCCGAGGAGTTTGGCATTTAATCTTACGGTCCTCGGAATGCGTGTATCATAACATAGCTGGTGGACATTATTTAACCGGCATATAGACTATCTTGTCTGAAATACCTCATGAGAAGTCATCCGATTCAAAAAGCGGCGGCCAGAGACACACCTGGCTGGTAATGCACTGGTTATTCAAAATAATGATGACGCCCAAGAACTATGGCACGCTCCAGTCGAGCACATTCACTTAAAATCCTGATTCTTTGGTGGACATATCAAACATATCTTCCCAGTCCTGTATAAATCGTTGGATCCACTTCCACAGGTTTGGAGAAGCGACAAACATATCTCTCCGAAGCTTTGGCGGGTTGTTGGCAGTATATTTTGTTTTCCATTCGGACACGAGCGTAAGCTTCTTAGCTATTGTATTCATGAAGACCTTGTTTTGAAAATATTCTTTTTCGTCCTTTTCAATTTTCGAGAGCGGCTGATCCTCTTCTCGGACTTCATTATACAGCTGGATATAGCGAGGGGAGCGCCGCTGTTGTAAGAAGTATTGCCCTATATCCACCTCAGGACCACGAGCAATGTGCCATATAGTAGTAAAAAGGTTATAGTCACCTATAGAGTCAAGGCTCAAGAGCCGACTCAGTCTCCAAGAGACTTGGGCCCGCTCAAGTGATTCGCGATATTTGTGGACTAAACTCTTTTCGATCGACCCCGGTATAGCAGCAATAAAACCGTCTATGAAGGGTACAACTAACTCTGGACTAATTTCGTCGCGGTATTGCGGCAACCCTGGCGCGGCGAGCAGTATAGATTCAGGTATAGACGAAGCAAACGCCCAGTCGATGATACACGTAATGTTATAATCTTCATCGACATATATATTACTGACGCTCAAATCAGCGTGGTATAACGGGAACGTCTTCGGGCTGACGGCTGGAAGTTCAATTTTGGGTACAATGTCGCGGAGAGCGTCGCCTGCAATGATATAATCAAGTCGGTTTTCTGACGAATCGGCTTTGCGCCCAACAGTCACAAAGTCGCTCCATAGGTCCACGGCACTCCGGTATTGCATGATGGATTGATAGTCTTCCGGCGAGGGGACAGGCGCCACAAAACAATGATGCGATAACTGTAGAATCTCGGCATGCTCCGAGAAAGCGGAGACAAGGCTGTTATAGAAATCTGTCTCAGAAGTAAAAGGCCCACGCTGAGTCTCCAACTGATATCGTCCATGTAATATGTGGCCGCGTGAGAGGCATTCCTTGATTTCAAAGGACACATCGTCTTCAAAGAGTGAGCCAATTGTATTAAACCGTAATTGAGAAAGCTTCCAAGTAATAGCGCCTAACTGGGTAAGAACTCGAGCTTTGTTGAGGGTGTCTAGGTCGGGTTGAGGAGAACCAGCTGGCCTCCAAAATTTTGACAATGGCCGCCCTGGCGCTTCACTCATAATAATAAATGGTATCCCGATATCATTCTCGGATGATGCACTACGGGAGGTTAGGGCTAGAAGAATGGTCTGCGGGAGTCTATTACCAATAATCGTATACTTCTGGGACCGGCACGTCGCTGTGAGCTCTGAGGTATCGGAGTGTAGCAGCTTCACTAGCCAGTAGCTTCATGCCCATTTCCATTGACATGAATGGTCTGGGGTGTGGGGATCTGAAGACCCATCGTATCCCATCTTCAAATGAAATGAAGATAGCCCAGTTGAAACTTCCCGAGCAAGGTCGTTGATCGGGCCTACAGACACATGAAACACCCTGCCGTAGTGTGCTCGCTTTATAACACAAAGCTTGAAGGTCAAAGTCGGCGTAAGTAAATATGTTTGGCTTCGAATCTGAGGACATTTCGATTGTAAGAAACTCGAGGATGGAGAAAACTAGGCAGACAGTTATGGTTTGTGATGAACCACTACTTTAAGGCCGTCAAAGCCTTTGTGGGTATCACGGGATTGTGATTTAATGTGTATGCAAGGGAGATTCTGTGGGGTTGCCAGTGTGAACAACTGCAAGGCGGCGACATTCTCGCGCAACACGCATCAGGCTATCAAGACAAACATGAGGTTGTCAGCCAGGCGGACAGCAGCTAAGTTTTGCATAAATCCCCCAGAAAGTTATCATCCCCATACACTACGCTATGCTTCGAAATTACCACTCAGCCCCTTTCCCCGTCCCTGTGACGTGTCTCGCCGATATCTGCGTTTCATGAGCTCTGCAGGCATGCCACCTCCTGACACGGATCTCTTCCGATACACCAGTGGCCGTTGGCTATGGGACGAGGAGCACCAACTTCGGGACCGATTTTCGCCTTTCAATGTGCCTGAATTGCAGCAAATTGCGGCGCAAAGTGTTGGAGCGGACACATGCACTGCGATGACAAAAATGGCTGAAGGATCATTCAACAAAACCTTCCGGCTTGAGATGGATAATGGATCATCTGTGATCGCAAGAATACCCCATCCTATTGCCGGGCCAAGGTACTACACCACGGCATCTGAAGTTGCAACAATGGAATTTGTAAGAATTGAACATGTTGTGTCGGTATGGTATTTCTAACAGGCAATCCAGGCCCGTACAATCCTCGGAATACCAACACCTCAAGTATATGCTTGGAATGCAGATGTGAACAACGCTGTCAGCTCTGAGTATATAATAATGGAGGAAGCCCCCGGTACAAAGCTGGAAGACATATGGCATGTTCTTTCTCTCGAAGAGAAGATAGAGATCATGAAGGATCTCGTTAAACTAGAGAATAAAATGCTTCAAGCGCCACTGAATAGGTATTGATTCAGGTACAACGTTGATCTGTTATATTGCTACTAATGACTTAGTTATGGGAGTTTGTACTATGCAAGTGCTAACATCAAAGATGCTGTGCCAGTCGACATATGTGCAGATGTATCTTCTGAGCTCAAGGACAAAGTCCAACGTCGTTTTGTCATAGGCCCAGTCGCAGAAAGAAACTATTGGTTGAAAGAACGTGCAGAGATGGCTTTTGATCGTGGACCATGTTTGTTCTCGACCTATCTCCTTGTTGTCTTAACTGACCCATCGAAGGGAAACAGCCACAGGACTATGTGCTCTCTCTAGCTCATTGAGAAGAGGCATGGATCCAGAAACACACAACTCCGCGATCTGAAGATGGCCGGCTAGTGACTTCAGCAACGCAGAACTCTCCAAGCAGTCATATCTCTTTACTACACAAGTATCTCAAAGTTGCTACTTATCTCCTCCCAAACGACCCGGCGGTAGTTGCACCATATATCTGGCATACAGATCTATATTCTGGAAACATCTTTGTCCAAAATGGCAAAATCTCCAGCGTTATAGATTGGCAAGGTCTGTGGGCAGCGCCCTTGATACTTCAAGCACGCCATGCAAGGCTAGTGAATTATAATGGGGAAATCATTTTGAAAGCCCCTGCAAACTTCAATGATCTTGATCCAGCGGAAAAGACTCGGATCAGAGGTCTTATGCGTAGCTCGATACTGCTCTACCTCTATGAAAAGCAAATTGCTAAAGAAATTCCCCTCTTTAATAAAGTCCTCCGATTTGACCACGGCCGGATACGGTGCGATCCAGTCTTGTTCGTGGGCGACACATGGGATGATGAACTTATACCCTTGCGAGAATCTCTGATAAGGTTTGAGAGGTAAGTATTTCTCAGAGTTCACCTTTTATAGTGTGTCACTAATAATGCTTCAGAAGCTGGGATGAAATGGGATTCGACTTTCCAGGTCCTATTCATTTTACAGAGTACGATCTCCGTATTCATGCAGAGGAAAGCGACGGATGGAATGATGTGCAGGAGTTCTGGGACTCTGTTGCGGATATAGTATCGAGAGATGGTTGGACACCGCATCGTCTATATGATGATGCCATTTCTCTGTTCACAGAGCTACGAGATATTGGGCTGAAAGCTATGGTAGGCAAGGAGAGAGACACATTTGAAAAGCAGACACAGTGGGCCAAGAAGCATTAATTCGACCGCTTTCTTCCTAACTTGCTACGAGTTTTCAGAGCTCTTGGTCGGAACTCTATCACTCACGTACATCTGTCAATCTACAATCTAGACGGGATTTCAAGTTGCAAGCTCGAAAGTACACTGGTAAGACTTTCCCCATAAAATTTTCCGGGGTTGAGACATTTGGAGCCTTGATTATTTATTAATAGGCCGGTTCTTGGTCTTCAGTTCAATTTGCTCATAAATGGTATGTGAAAATAGTTTTGCATGCAGAGTATCAACGTAACTAATTAAACCGACAGTTGCAGAAATTTTCAAATAGGAAAGAGACAACTTCTGTAGGTAGAAGTCCATCAACAGCACTATAAGGTACCAGAAGTACCTATAGACCTAGTTGAATGGTTCTTCAGAGCGTAGGGATAGACAAGAGTATCTGAGACTACCAGTGATTATGTCATTCTGACAGTTTTCCATCTCTCCATCACCATCTAGCTTCGATTCCCATCGCTTCGTTTCAAAATTCCACGTAGGTTCTGATGGGATTAGATCTCTGAATCATCATCATCATCATCATCATCATCGGACATGAGGGCTCGCAGAATCGTACGACCCTCCTCACGATCCTCATCCTCATAGATGCTCAGCCCGTGGTCTCGTAGAAACTTGAATTCAGATCCATGGTGTTTCTTTAGCCATGCCTTCTCGTTCTGAGTGAGAGGCTCAGAGACCTTGGTCTGAGCCTGACGAGAGGCCTGTAAGGCTGCAAACCTCCGCCGCTCACTATCGGGCCAGAAGGCGTGAATCATGTAGTCATCGGATGGCCTAAAAGGTGAAGGTCCAACCTTGGGACCGACCAGGGGTCCGCTAAGCCGGACTTCCCAAAACATGACGTTTCCAGTGATAGACTTGAAGTAGGCAACGGTTCGCCCGTCAGAGTGGCTGGTAATAGAGTCAGAGGTATGCTTATTGGAGGACCGAATTTGGACACCGTAGTCTTTCAGAATGGGTTTTCCAATGATATTACAGGTCAGACGAGGGGCATGTAGCACATTCTTCAAGCGGACGACACCGTGCGAACTCGGACCGGTTTTCTTTGGCGAGGTCTTGGTGGGTAGGTCGACGGTTCCAATCCCAACGACTTCGATCGAGTCTCCAAGCATACCTGTGACAAAGGACTGGAAGGGTGTGTAGTCGTCACCGAACCAAGAGCGATCTCGAGCGGCACTAGCTCAGTCAGGAGGATAAACTTGGGCTACCAGCCAGAAAGTCAGATGACTTTCAGCTGTGCGGTTGGGAGAGTACTCACTGAACGTCAGAGTTGTTAGACCAAACCCAGGCGGGAGAAGGGAGAGAGGCCTCGTTGTTCTGAGATGGTGCTGCCATGGTGAGACGCTGATTTCTAGAGAGCCTAGACGGCCAATATGGTCAGCATGGAGGAATCAAGCCAATGTCGAATGGATGGTATGATAATGGATCTATCTACGTGACGCGCATGACTGTGAATACATAGTAAGCGCGTGAGGCATGTGACCAGATAGCCAAAAACGGCAGACGGAGTATATTCACTCCTATATTGTATTTAGTATCTAGATTAAGCAATACTATTGACGATACTGAACGACCTGGCTGATGTAGCTAAGATGCATGAGATCATTGCTTATTCTCTTCGCCTCAATAATCCCCAGCTGAGAACAATAAAAATGATTGTTCCTGATAATAGTCCAATTGAAGTACCGTAACTGACATGGTAGGAAGGGCCGAACTTGGACTGATATACTTGAGGGCCAACGATACCCATCAATTGGGCACATGCCTATAACATGTTAGTAGGCATCAATATGAGCATAGCAATAACATACGTTTGTGATTCCGATAGCAAGGGCTGATGATGTAGTCCCTTTGACTGCTCGAATTCGCTCTGAAAAGGCTATATTAGATATGAACCAGTATACTAAAGCGGATGAACGTACCAGGCCAGATCACAGGGTAAACACACGATGCTGCTGCATTGGAAATCATAATGAATATGTATTTCACAATGGTGTTATCAGTTGTGAGCAAAATGATGTAACTAATGATTGATACAAGTTCCACTATCCCCACGTTAGAGCATTGTATATCTGAAGAGTGATATACTTACAGGCAATGGCTACAATCCAGCAGTTCAACTTATCTAGACGAATGAAATAGCCTAGTATAACAAGCGTGAGGAATGCTAGGCTGGAGGGCGGCTATTTAATCATTTATTAACTTTGCCCAAATTCAATGCCAATGATAAACTCACCATCGACATCAACTGCGCAATACCCGTGTTGGTCATTCCCAACTCGTAGATGACGGTAGGAAGGACGAAAGAGATTCCCCAGCCTCCGATGCCATGAGTGATCCACAGCAGTGAAAACGTAATCATTGTCGGATCACGCAGTAAAATCTTGACTTCTTCCCATTGGAAGGTCTTCGCTTTCATTTTCGGTGCATCGCTGGAAAGACCTTCGAGTACAGTTTGTTTCTCTGATTCGGACAAGAAATTAGAGTTCTCGGGGTCTTTTTCATTAGCCTTTAACATTCAATCCAGGAAGAGATATCGTACAATTCGGGAGGAAGAAGTATGTATATACTCCACAAAGAATAGGCGGGATGCCTTCGAGGATGAATACCTGTTCGAGTCAGGTCGCTGTTTTCTTTTGACAATTCCGGTCATACCCAGCGCCATCCCGAAAGCCCACCCGCTTTGTTCATGAAAGATATAGCATATGCTATTGGAGTATAAGTCAACAGCCTATGATAGAATAAGGCATTCATACCTAGTAAGCCACTAACGGTTCCTGAGAAAACGCCAGACGCGTAGAAAAATGCCTATTTCTTAGCTATAGTTAAATACAACAGGGAGCACTTACGAGTCGAAGCGGCATTCGATCTGTGTTATACCAGAAGCTCAGGTGATATCTATATCCGAATTAGAGACTAAATAATATCATAATCTTTAATTAGCAACATACAATACTCCGGGGTAGAAGCCAGCCTCAGCCAAGCCCAGAAAGAAACGAGTAGCAAGGATGCCAGCATAGTTTCTAGTAGCTCCTTGGCACATAGAAATGATTCCCTTGATTCATTAGTTTGATAGAGGCCTATGCGGTTTAGAATAGAAAAACGAACCCAGGTAATCATAATCCTCGACATCCATACCGAAGGCGACCATCTCTTCAAAAGGACGGTAGATGCTGGTTCGAAAAACATATATGGATAGCTTGGTTTATGTTAAGAAAGGAAGTAAAATATCTTTTGAATATACATACTAGAATATGCTCAATGCCCATGCCCACTGCTCACTGGACAAATTGCCCAGTTCCTTCTTAATCCCATTTCCCTCTTCGATGTTGATAATAGCCGCATTTGAAATGTTGGTCACATCGATACGCATAATCAGATAAACGAAGGAGTACCACAGAAGAATGCGAAAGTCAACTTCGCGATGGATCTTCTGTAGGTTTCTGTCTGTCCTTTGATGCGAATTTGTCGTGATTCCCACTTCTTCTTCTGCCGGTGAGAAGCCCGGTTTGTCCAAGTCATTTCGATTCTTTACTGGTGCCATTGTAAATTTTCTGCGCTTCTCATCACTTGAAAACTAACAGTTTGCATCATGATATATGAGTGAAGACCTGAGGTCGATATCAAACGATGTGATTGATGGCTTCGATCACGACAGCGGAAAACCCCGCCTTTGAAGATTTTAATCTACAATTAACCTGTCAGTGCAGTTCTGAATCTGATAACTGCTGTTAATTTGATTGCAGGTTGATGGCGTCATCTTGGCATCTTTGGTGTCTTCATTGTATAAACTTCTCAACTGCCGCAATATATTTAAGATTGCCGAAGCGTTTAGAGAAAGACTAAAATACTTCAAAGCTACTATTAGACAAAAGATTACCATCGCCCACGCTCCGTATCATAAAAGATCATATCAATCAAACCTTCCATATCTTAATACGAATAGAATTTAGAGTGAACTAGAAGAACTCGTCGAAATTGGTAAACATATCGTCTGTGTAGTGCATCAGAACATTAAGTCACATGATCGGTTAGGACCCAAAAAGACAAGGCGAATCATACATCAACGAAAGGCTACAGGATATTTCTCTCTATATTTGATCTGGTTATCTGTGTGGGCGTCTTTTGTGCCCAGATTGCAGATAAATAGCGCTCGCCCCGTTGGACTGATCTGGAATATAGGCAATAACCCAACCATGCCACGGTTTTTTGGAGACATTGGGAATAGCTTGGCCTTTGTCTCTACATTCTTAATATATTATATAAACCTGGAGAACCTTTATAGAGATATTGAGCAAGCGACCTTCTCTCCAGGCAGCATGGCCCCAGGGACTAAGAACAACCCTGATCCGCCTCTACAGTCACGCATGTTCTTCTATCACGATGCCACTATATTGCTATATTAGGTAGGGCCTGCAGATGGTAATTTGCAGCTAAAGCTAGTATAGTGTTGAAGGTCTGGGGCAACTCCAAGTGGACAAGTCAAATTTACTGTGGGAATCCAGAAAGCATCATGGTTATTTCCAAGGTTAAGTTTATTAAGGGCAGACTGACGCAGATAGCCCAATGGCTTCCTTAGTAGCCAGAACTGGACAACGGAGCTGGCGATAATGGTTTACTATGTTAAGTCTCACCTTAGTAGTTTTTAACAGCTTAACAAGTACCCAGCCAGCGTTTGAAAGCATTAACCACCAGGGATTGCCGCCGCTAGACATTATATTCAGGATAATAACCTTAGCCTAGTTACTATGCTGTGTAAAAGTTCAATTGCCAAAATAAGACAAAAAAAATTAACAAAACCTGGGATACTACAATAACCAGGACCTCAATAGGCACGAGAATGTATCTAAAGCACGGTAGAGAAAGTCAGAATTTACTTATAGTGTACAAATAACTGGGAGCTACCTGAGCAGCACGGAGTAAAGGGAGATATATAGAATTAATCTACCGATTGTCAGCCATAGGGCATAATGTGGAGAACATCGTAGTCATGGCAGTATAGGGTATCCGATATAGATCAAGTGCAGCATAAAATGAAGCAGGTATTGGATGCGAACTGTACTAAGGTACAAGTCTAATCCTAATGTAGCACTAGTGCGGTAAGAATGGCCGAACATTTCAGTATTAAAACAGGGGGCCTGCAACTTAAAACGCGGATCCCTTGGTATCTACGCGCCATCATCAAAGGAAAAACACAAGTTCAACTCAAGTCCAAATCTCACCTCAATTGATTATCACAATGACCAAAGCGAAGGCCTCAAACCGGGAAGACATCTTCATGAGCATCAAACCCGAACATATGCATAATATCAGTACTGGCGCAAAGAACCATGAGTACCGCCGCTACCTCCTCCCGTCGAGCGTCCGTCGCATCTGGTTCTATACCACCGCTCCCGAATCGCGAATCGCACATGTCGCCCGCGTCTCTCACGGCAAAGTCCCTGGCGAAGTCCCAGAAAATGGTGGGATTGGTAACGAGGACTTCAATGCGGGCAAAAAGGTTTCGAAATACGGCTATGAGATTCTTGATCTGTGGAGATTGAAGGAGCCAATTCGACTGAAAATGGCCCTTTCACAGGGTTATTTGAACGGCGCACCTCAAAAGTATTGTTGGGTTCCACCCAAGCTCCTAGAGCGCTGTCGACTGGATGAACAAGATCATATCATTCCGAAGGTACTGGAAGAGCGCCCTGTTGAAAGCACAAAGAACGATGATCTAGAAGAACCGGAAGCTCGTTCTATTAAAAGGAGAAAAGAAGACGATCTAAAGGCGCCAGAAGTACACCATGTTGAAAGTACAAAGAAAGATGATCTAGCCAAACTGGAAGAGCACCCCATCGAAAAGACAAAAAAAGATCTAAACGAACCAAAGAAAACATCCAGCTCGACTGGCAAGAAACGAAAGATATCAGAATTCTTCACACCATCAAATGCAACGAAATAACAGGACATGCTGTACTGCGGGCCATCATAAGCTGTTATATTCAACAGAAGCCATGAATTCATGCTCTAATGATTCAAGCCGTTCTCCTGGGGGAGTTGCATTCCCCGGGATAACAGCTGCATATCGATATATTCTAAGGAGTAGTTCCTGAACAGCATATATGGTTTCTCAACCCAATCCTGTACTTCCTCAAAGAGCGCCTTCAACCCACATTCCGTTTTCAAAAATATGTCTGTATCTAGCAAGTACCTGCGACCTGCATCGCATAGGTACTTATATGATCCTTGCTTGACATACAGGCTCTTTGAGAGCTTAACACCAGACCAATCGAGGATCAAGGGGGCATAAAAAATTATCGGGGCATTTCCAGGACGTTCTAGGAGCCGCCATGTCAACTGTTCTTGGTAGAACCCGGCGTAGTCGGATCCAGTACACATGATCCAGGATGTTTCCGAATCTTGGCTGCAGACGAGAATCCGAATAAGATTACGCAGTGGCGTGTTGAACTCGAGCCGGTCTAAATCTTGAGACGATGTGAGATCGACATGATGTTCTCCATGGTCCGGACATATGAACGTGATTCGACTATCGTCATGGTATTGATTGTTCAGGCCATGTTTATCTGCTAGCCCGCATCCTTCGCGCGGGCAAGATGCTCGGATAGCTAACTTGCCTGTTTCTGGTGACAAATGCGCACCCAGAGTCTTATGGTGGGCAACGATGTTCCGAAGGATGGCGCCAAAAGCAGGCTTCGAGCGCCAGAAGTTTTGCGTTTCAATATCATATGCTACGCCGGAGAGGTTGGACAATTGGTCGAGCACCTTCATAAATGGCGTCTGATTGGCTCGAAAGTCTCCTGTGTGTCCGAGACTCTTCTGATATCTGACGCCGTTGATCAAAAGGTCCTTTCCAGGAGTAGGGGCGCTATCCACATAAACGAACTTGGCCCTAATGTCACGCTGGAATTTTGTCTTTATGGCCGCGGCGAGGGCAAATCCTGTGGAGAAGGTAACCAGATTACCAATGTGCGGGCTGCTGTTCGGCTGCGATCCAATATGGAGAGTGATCTGAGGTCGAGAACATTGATCATTCAGATATTTGACAAGGTTCTGCTTGAAATAATACGACCCACTACCCAAGGGGTGGTGGACAACGCCATCATGGTCTATCATAGTGTTAAAGCGAGAAGGAAAGGATTAATCGTATAAAAAGTTGGAATTTTTGCAACTGGCTAAAAAACAAACAACGGCGACGAGAGAAAATAAATGTATACACATACTCTGTGGCTGACCCCACCAGAGCTGAATCAAATAAGGTTTGATCGACTGGATCTATTTAAATGACCAGCCACCAAACAATCACTAGGCAAGGCTGTGGGTTCTCTACCAATAAATCGTGAATCAATCAGCCGTCAAGTCTTTCGCCTTTGTGCCATTCTCTGTAGAACTGGTACGGGATATAACTACCTTGATTTCTGTAAGCTTACTAAAACCGTATCACTGGCAATACAGTACATTTATCATGTGATTGTTCTTTTTTTTTTGTATTATACCGTCAACTTCTAGAAACAACTTCAGCCTCGCAAAACTCAAGTTGCATTAGTCGAAATGAAGTATCATATGAGTTCGGCCCACGGAGATTCAGTGGATGTCAGCGGACCTTCAATGGTTTCCAATGATGCAGCATCTTTTGTGGTTCCTATACTGTGCTTAGGGCATTAGAACTATATACTGCGTATTGCCAGACTTGCCAGCCAGACTAGGGCCTGTACTGCATTGTGCCCAGGGCATTGAACGCTCCCCCCCCTGGAAGAGTAATTCAGGTAGTATTGCTTAACCGAAATCTCGGATAGGGCCCGGCTTTCGAAAGCTCGAATCTACGCAGAGATCGTATATCTTGAGGCAAGAGAAAGGAAAGAGGAAATTATAATTGTGAGGATAATCTTTTATGACTTCATAGGGATTGTGTCCGCACATTAAAAAAGAAGACAAATAAGGATTTAATTTCATTAACACCAGGATTGTTACCAATAGCGTCTCCTCAAGAGCTAGAACCTATCTATTAAAAGATTAGTCTTCTGATCATGTCCAGGCTTGTCAGTTAGTGCATGGACTGATTCAAAGCTCCCTTTTGCTTATGCAACCCTCCGACATGTGGATGCTTGATGACATATTGATATCCAGGTATTTTGGTATAAATTGTATCACAGATTGAATGGTGATTCGGTCTGATGACTGTATAGTATACCCTGCTCTTGGTACATGGACAGTTCAGTTTCCAGACAGCAATATCGGAAGGTATATACGTTGCCTTTTCCATACTGATAAGTGGTGTCTGTATCGACATCATCTATCACTGCGGGATAGAAGCCCTAAATCTTTCAGCTAGGTCTATAGAATAGTCTATACCCTACAGTACAACTGCTACGGTTTAAATCTATCCTAGTGCTTAGAGGTACTAACTTATAATACGCTTCTCCTGGAAGTGACTACTTTTTAATATTACCTTTTCCTGATACACTTTAGAGGTCTGCCTAAATGAACAATTTTCGAACGTATATCTCTACAGCTGTCTTACCTATTATAGTAATAGTAATATATATACATTATCCATGGTTATAACACGCCCAGTAGACTGCGGCTCTCTGGCTAATATTGACTTAATATAGAATGCAGGTCAACGGGCAAGAGAAGGTAGGGGCGACAACCGTTGAGATCAATAGGGCCAATCTGTTACACATAGCTCTTCATTGCGTTCTTGTACTCTCCACTCTTGCGTTTTAAGGTGTATGCAATCTATTCAGTGCATTGGAATTTGGATATAGAATTTAGGCTTCAGTTTTGGTTGGGTTTGCATAAATACATTTAATACCCTTACCCACTGAACTCTATCCAGCCTGGGGACACCTGAGCATCAGCGCAGCTGAATGAAAAGTGAATAGATGTGCGATATAAGGGGATAGTTTCTTGTACTTATTCTTGATCATTACGGTTCATCGCCACATGCTGTTAGGTGTGCAAAGTCACATTCTTTTATTTTATCGTTCCATTGACTACCAATGGGGCAGTCCTGCACCCATGGCGTTCCTGTCACACCGTCGTCATTGACCTCACAATAAATGAACTATGAGCAACTGTCGGGATGTGCGTAGAGACAGTCATGCTTACCCAGACACTTTGTCTCTTTGATGTCGGACTCCGGGCAGGTGAAGTCACTCTGCCCACTGACTTGATGCAGCCAAGGCTAGAACAAGGGGAAGAACGCGAGGAAGATGCATGGCTTGCCCAAAGGTTAGCATGTTTCCAGCATAAACGGAATTATGAGGTGGATACTTACTAAGTGTTTGGGGTTGAAGAGTGCGGAGTGGATTGATCCTTGGCCACTATCGAGATTACTTGGGAGACGGGGGGATTTAAGTACTAGAAGAGTCAATGCAAGTGCATTCCATATGAAGGCTAACCAACTAGTTAGTTGGTGCCTGGCTATGGGCCACGTATCCGGTCCAAGGGTGACCTTTGACAATCGATTATTCTGATACATCGCCGCGAAGCTACTCTAAAGAGTTCTGTTGAGATCGCTTAAGGACCCCCTTGCATCTCTCTGTCGGCAATGGCTTTCGGTAGTCTATTGATCGTCACTACTGTTGATCCACTTGTGCTGACCTTTGCTCTCACCGACCCTCAGCTGGAAGCTGGCTTAGCGGTCAGTTCCATTTTGTACTCTGTAAAGGATTCCAGTTCCCTATACAAAATGCTTGGCTCTGTTCTTAAATAACCTAATAACCAGTAAACTTGATACTTATATTTTTTGAATACTACTTAAAACTATATCAACCTTTATATTTCTGGAAGATGATACTAATAATAATAAGTAATTATGGTAAATCCAGTAGGCTTTCCTTGAGATATCAAGACCTGGAAAGTTCAGTTGATATGATAGCACGGCTATTTCTTTATTTAAAAAAAAAACAAAATGAAAAATGAAAATAAAGTCATAGATAACATTCATAAATTGTAACACCATGAAAAGCTTTCATATATACATCCTAAGTTAGGGTTAATGTGATTCAGACTACCCCATACAATCTACCAGCTGCGTCGGCACCAGACATGGTGTAGCCTCGATGAGTGTTACTTGCAATACATCGAGTATAAATGCACGCGATATAGTGACTTTCCATCTCTGCAGAAAGGTCAGCAACTCTTTTAACTCTATTTAACGTTCCATAGCCCACCGCTACTCGTATTTACATTTACAGTGACTCTACCATCACGACACTAATCCAAGAAGCACAGCCCAGCCCAGCCTACCAAATCCAGCCCCCAATAGGTTATACTAACAACGTATGCAACCATGCACGATGGGGCTGACATTCCCCAGCCACCGAACCCAGCGATCCATATCTTAGTCCATATTACTTGCATATACATTCTGTCTTAGGTACATGTTTTACGATCTGAGGTAATCGTACTATGTATAGCATCAAATCATGAATGATACTCATACTCCGACTTAGTAAGAAATACGACAGCCTGAAATAACATACGGTTACATACATCAATCACAGTAATCACAGTAACGCCGGCGATAACCTAACCTATCCAGTCAGGAACAGATGCCCCGTGCTACTAAGTTCCATGTCATCTGTCAACTACTAATTTTCCGAGGCGCCCGGTGGATAACCTTCGGCTCCGCTTTAGTGAGGGGTAAAATGATAGTCGGCGTGGGATGTCAGATGACATCACATTGGCGCTTGCGCTAGTGTTCTGTAGTTCTTGGGAGAGAAGACAAGGTCAAGTGGTAAAAGGTCAAGTGGTAAAATTGAAATGTCTATCGGTACGATGGTAGTGGGTGTCTATATAGGCTGTGCAAGACGCAACGAAAGAATCAAACCAACCGTGGCCGAGATAGAACGAGTCGCAAAATGGTATCATCGAAGACAAAGAAAGCCATGGGCTCCAACTTGCAGTAGAAAATGCAAATGACTCCCGATGAGCTAGCATACGCCAGACAAGAAAGCAAAGCCCCGTCCCAGTTGTAAGCAGAATGAGAAAAAATTAAGAGTGCCCAGAGGAAAGGAATGACAAAGGAAAGAACAAAGGAAAAGAAAAACTGTCAGAGTGATCCGCGCTGATAGCGGTACTGTTCCTTGAACGGGTCACTGAGAGCAAAGAGCAATCCAGTCAGTAGGCCAAACCAAACGCGCCAAAATGCAATCCGACAGATCGAACGTAAAATGCCGAGGAAGTTCAAACAGCAGTTCTGATGTTGTCCTGCAGTTCTGATTTATTCAGTCCCGGCGGGTGAAGATGAAAAGAACAAAATCACGAGTACTTTTTTGGTGGGCCGATGCCCGGTCAGACGTAAATATTGCAAAGGGTTGCGAGGACTATGCGGCCGGTCGTCGAAGAATCTCCTCGCAGTTGGCATCGAACCGCATGTTCCATAGACGAACGCTGTTCATCAACTTCTCCGTGCTCTCCAATTCGCGGTCGCGACCAAATATCGTCTCCACAAATTCGCAGCCTGCGTTGCGGCCCATAGACACACTCTTACCACCTTCTCGCTTGGCCGCTTTCCACATGAACTGTTCGCAAGTTTTCAGCAATTTCTTAAACCGCGCCCACAGGCGCTCACCACTTTCCAGAAAGTCCTCCACCACTTCTTGGTGCTCAGGCTGCTTGATCCGATCCACACACTCATCGGCCCTCTTGATCTTACCCGCCAACTTAATCAACAACAACCACAACTCGCCCGCAACATCGGCCATGGGAGTCGAAGCACCGTGATGGAAGACCGTCCAGTCGTAGATCCACTTGCCGAGGGAGTTCGCATCGAAAACACTGCCCAAGAGAATGATAGGCGTTTCGGTGGGATCCCAGTTCTTGATCGAATAGCCCGCGGGGATGCCAGCCTTAGCCGCATCCTCTTCCGTGGCCTCGGAGGCGGCTTAGATGATGTCGTAGGCTTGGGCTTGGACGGGGTCCTTGTGGAGGTGGACTGGCGACGCGCGCGGGACCGTTTCGGTGAGTCGTCATCATACACAGGAACCTGATTAGAATAACAATATTGATCAGTGGGTGCCTTTGGCTTGCGTGGAGTTGCAGACGTGAATCGACGGGGTTGGCTAGCTTCCTGGTGGAAGGCGAATCGTGGCGCGTCGTCGAATCCATCGTCGACCACATCTACAAAGATGGGTCGTTTCCGGGTCGAGTGCGACGGGCGCGGACTAGCGTTATCCCAAGGGTCCGCTGGGGCATTGCCCATGGTGCTACGGCGACGATGATAGGACGAAGAGCCACCAAAAAAGCACTTACATTCTCGTGCTTGCGCGGTGGCGTGCTATATTCAGGCATCGCGTCGTAGAAAGGCGTCCCGTATCCGGCATATTGCCATCCTGCAGCTTCCTTGGTGCCGGCATAACTGGCTTTGCGACCATGGCGCTTCGACGATGGTCGAGGGGAGCCGTAGGGATTGGCGACCTGAGTAGCGTAGTAGGCGTAATGAGGAGATGTAGGAGGCGAAGTCATATAATGGGATGACCACCCGGGAGGTGGCGTGGAATAATGATACATTATCGGAAGTTGAGCATAAAAATTGGCTCGCGATGCTGGTAGTAAAGACGAGTAATAAAAATCGACAACTTTTTAGAGTCCCAAGTAACCAAGCTGCTCAAGGAGACAAGCAAATAAAAAAAATATAAAAAATGTTAAAAATCAAAAGAAAAAGCACAACCCAGGTATATTGTACAGGATATCGTTCAGAACAACCCGATCGACGCCGATGCAAAGGACAACGAAATCGGAAGATCGATAATGAGGACCGTCACCGAGGCACGGCGTGTAGGGGAGAGGAGGGACAGGATGTTATGTGCTGAGCGTGCATTTGAACGTCGTCAATCGTCGGACGGGTTAAGCGACTGATCTGTGTGGGAGGCGAACTCGGTTCCTTGAAGCGAAAGACCCCGAATCCAAACGATTGCCGAAAATATTCGAGCAGGTTCCTGAAGGATCTATGTGTTCTATCTAGGTGAAAGTCCAGGAGTCGACCCAGGAGGTAGTGCGACTGCTGGTTGGGTGGTTAAATTTCTGGAGGTTGATAGTGAACCCTTCTGAAGGGCGATAAATGTAGTAAAATGGCGAAAGGAGGGCGCGCAGGCGAACCCCAAGCGTTTTTTGTAATGGATGTTGACTGAGTCCACGGGAACGGGGCACTGCGGGTAAGGGTGGGGACGCTTGTAAAATTTCACAACGCTAAATTTGGTTCCATTCGGTCCCGTCTGGTTTGGTTTAGTACCGTACGGTACCGATGGGGTACTTTTCAGCTCCGTCGGTTTCAGGCCCGACAGCCCACAGCTGAGAATAAGACACCTATGAGGGTTGCAAATGTGAATATTCATTTGAAGAAACCTTCTTACGTATACGGAAACCATGCGCAGTTAAGTTCATCAGGAAAAAAGTTCGAAGCTGATCATATCGCTCGGATACATATGATATGTTATATACTCTGCAACGGCCAGATTCGTCACCACTGAAGGAGTCATCTGGAGTGTTGATTAGTTGGGCATCGCCTCGTCGTGCCCTCTTGGTCGACTGGATAGGGCACAAAATAGCCGAATCCAGGGTCCCTATTGGTACCGAACGATAAGCCAGGAGTCAAAATTGCGATATGGACCATATATATCCAGTCATCCTTCTTCGTGAGCCCCCTTCCTGAGTAATCCACTGCATCACTGTTCCATCAGACATTCAGTGCCATTGGTCGACAGAAGCAAGTCGACCAAGTCGGACTCATACACCATGGCTATTCGTACCTAAGGCATTCACGGGCCGCTGTAGATTCAGTCTCCCATCACACCATCTTGATCTGCTATCCATACGGTTAGTGGGAGCCTAGAATCTGGCTATGAGGGCGCGTATACGGGCGCGGGTGTGAGTCAGTGCCTAAGTTGCCACGACGGTGGCTCAAAGTATAACAGGTATCTTATTCAGAGTGGTAAGATGATGATTCAGAAGCTTGTCAGCTGAACAAAGACTCATTCTGGCATACTCTTCGCCTCGTTTGTAATCTTTGTCGTCATCGCACGACTGCCTAGGGTTGTGGCAATGTGATAGCACAGGTCTGAAGATCACAGCCGCGGATGAATCATTCCATAAGGTGCACTGGAACATCATCGAATGATATAATGCAGTCGAGGACTGGACAAATAAAAGCGTTCAGTACATGCTGTGTATAGCTATTACATGGTTAGCTTTAAGATAGTCTGTTCCGTGGATGTTTCCCGCCGTATCCCATGGTTCCATTCCCTGATCTCTGGTTCCAGATAAACAAGCTCGTCTAGAGGGACTTTAGTCCAGTGGGACCTTTCTGTCATAAAACACCCACAGCATAAATTATACCCACCATGTCCATCGATCGACCAAAACAATGGTTGTTGGGCAACATTCGGTTGCTGGGCTTTACCGCTGCTGGGCAGCAAGTGCACAACGCGATCGGGCTTCAGTGGACAGACCGCAATTTGAACATCGAAGGACGGAAGGAGTCCGTCGAGGGGTGGGGTGAAAAAAGAAAGAATAGTACTTACGTAGAGAGAAAAATATCCGAATCCAAATGAAACTTGTTCAAGACTCTGGTTCATAATATCGCATGCAAAGTACACGATATGTATAAACGGTTACAGTACCCATATGAATTGTACATACTTCGTCTCAACAAATAGCAGGATAGCGAAGGGCCATCCCAGTCCGTCAGCCCGTCATATTCGACGTATCTTTTATTCAAACTGAATGAAGCACTGAAGCGACGTCCTGCTAAATTTTTTTTGTGGTCTATTTTATTTGCTTTTTTTTTGTGCGATAGACTTTTCTCCGTCGTACCAAACGCTATGGCTTCAAAGTTCAAGGAGACGCATCACTAATGTCGTTACACGGGGGAAATATTGTACAATACTACTGGTAAATTAAAATCTGGCCTGGATAGATAAAGGCCAAATGGCGACGCCGGCAATGCTAATATCGATTGAGGACTAGTCTCGTCATAGCCGCTGTGATGGTCGGCGTCAACGGTTCAATTGCATAGGCTGGCCGAGGTGTGATGGGTGATGTGATTGAAGCCCCCCTCAGCCACCTGAAGATTAATTTAGAACAATATATTAAATGACTGCCGACACGGTCATCATTCCGAGTCCGTCTGCGCCGGAGTACGTCGTAACACGGAGTACGGAGTACACTGGACATGAATCTGAATCAAGGGAGAACGCCTCTTGTAAGATTAATATTCAACCCCCCAAAGGGGAAATGAATATGAGGTTCACACGGGAGACCGGTACTTTTGCCTGCATCAAAGTCAAAGCGGCTTCTCCACAGCCAAGGCCCACCAGCAGAATTTTCACTCTGCCCTTGCTCTAGAAACCGAGCTAGAATCCTATACAGCGGTGAAGTGTTTCTAGTCGTTCTGGACACGGGGGATTTTGCATGTGGGAGCAGAAGGAAGAAGAGAAGTTGAGGTTGGGGGAGACTTTCTCTACGAATCCCTGAAGACATGGCTGGAGCGGCAAAGCAAAAAGAAGTAGGATGGCAATGTAACACACCTTCAAGCCAAGTTGACCCTTTTTGCGTCGATTCCAACTGTGTAACGTTGGTCAGAGCTCGAAGGCTAGAAAAATAAAATGCAAAAATATATGACCAGACTGGGGCTCGATCCCAGGACCTTATCGGTGTTAACGATACGTGATAACCAACTACACCATCCGGCCGATATATTTTGCTTTGGCTTATTCGGATAAAAAGGGGAAGCTGCTCGAAAAGTCAAAAAGCTGCGGCCAAAGGGTGAGGATCCCATGTATGTACGGTATGTACTGGTACATACATAGTTACCTATTTTAGTACGTACGGTACGTACCATCCACATTCTAGCCCCGTAGGCATTCATATTCCAGCCTAGATTACCATAATTTATTCCCACATCTGTACAAAGGAGACCTGAATCCTGCATACTCAGCCCTGATGAAGAATTCCACGCAAAACAAAGCCACAGCACTTGATCTCTCGCCTGATTAGTCCATCCAGGTTCCCTTCTGGGGGATGTGTACGTAGTCTGTCTCATCCTCTGGTCTGTTCGCCCGCCCCATTCCAATAAGCTGAAGAATTCATCGCGCAGTCGAAACGAGCATGATTGTGCGCGTGACTTCAGCCCTTGCCCTGAGCCCTAGCCAGCAAACTAGACATCAATGGGACCCAGTGTCTTAGTAGGCGTCAACACAAGCCTATCAAGCCTGTACCGAAAAACATACATACGAACCTTGCAGATAGTGTTAGACTTACTGTGGCACAAACACACCTCTTTCAACTCTCATTCGCCGGTTCAGAGACGATCAAAGTACCTGAACCGGGGCTGGACCGAGACCTCCAACCAAACGAACAGTCTTTCCAACCTGCATGCAGCCCTTCCGGCTTCCGCGACCTCATTTAGTTCGTATTCGATTAGCCAGAGACAGCGATGGGCTACCAAAAAAGTAAAGTTACTGTACGTCGTCATAGCTACATCTGTGGCTCGGTGGGGACGGTTGTACCCCTCACAGTAGTAATAACTCTTATAGGTAGTCCAGTGTGGTGGAGTGGTACATCGGACTCCCTGTTCGGACTGAACGTGCATAAATATACCAGATTGTCTCCACGCTAACTAACGTGGCCAGCTAGCTAAGGTATCACCGACCAACCCTATCAGCTTACCACAACCCCTCCTGATCCTTCCACAGAATGTATGACTATGGTTTGTACATACATGCGCCCAATGATGAATTTCCCAGCCCAAATGCCTCCACCATCTTTTTTCACTGCGGTTACCAGGGTGCATCTACATAAATCTCCGACTTGTGGAGTTGAGATCGGCAAATCAGCGCCTGACACGCTGGCGACGCTGGACTCGTTCCAGGTGGATCTGGCGTTGGGTTATGGCTAGTCATGGAATTGCGGGGCGTTATTGGCGAATTGTTACTTCATCGGGTTGCTGTGGTTGGCAATGAGATCAGTTAAGTTGTTATGTGGTTGCTACGTGACTTCGTTCTACGAGGGGATATTTTTGGTTCAAGGTAGGCACAATCGCTGCCACCACTGCTGCTATAGCCATGCTATGTATGTACATACATGTAGAACTCCATAATGCTATACCTATGTTCGTAATATATCCAGTTGTATATCATCAAGCACATCAGCCAGATTATCGAATAGGTCCACTGGCGTATTAGTATCATGAATGTACATTCGTGACTTTTGTCACACCACCATATATTCCCCTTCGGTCCGTTTAGCCTGCATCACCCGGTGCCATCGGAATCCATGCGGTCTCGCAACCGATGCTAAAATCGGGAATGATGATGTTTCGCTATAGGAGGGCAAATTATCATCAAAGGCTGACACAACGTCTTCGGATGCGCCAGCGTATGTGCCGCGTGATGCACGATCAGTGTGATCGCCAACATCGGCCGCGGTAGGGATTTCTGCCCATATCTTTTCGAGCAACTCGAGACATGAGAGGTTATTTAGAAATCCAGAATCTTTGGAAAGGTCCTTGCAGCGCTCTCTGATGAATGTACGATGCCTTTCAACCACACACTCGGCGCCAGTGATAAAAAGCGGCCATAATAGGTACACGTCCGACTTAACCAGTGAGATATGATGCATCGCGTGGTTCACGAGTAATTGAATACGGGGATGATTGGATGGCAAATCTGGATACGCAAGTCGTTCAGTATAGAGAATCGCGGAATGGCGGAATGATTCAGAAATATGAAAGACATCCTCGCGGTTCTGAGGGGCAACAACAGCCTGAGATGACGGGGATGAAGGTGGCGAAATGTATGCATTTGTAGTAGACGCGGGGACACCACCAAAATGTCGACTATCCTGGCGGGGGAGACGCCATGATTCAAGCTTTTGCCGTAACGAATACCATTCTGCCCAAAACGCTGGTGATGACGGTCGCCTTGATGGGTCGCTCGATTGTGGTAGACAGGGTAGCGGATGCGAATGAGTGTTGCTGCCTGCAGGTATATCTGACCTCAACGAAGAAGATGAGTAAAAATATGTCATCGATGGTGGAGGCGCCGAAGACGGAACAAATATATCCACAAGTCCCGGCGCTTTGACTTCCTGGTCTTGACTCAAAAGATTCAAACGACCGAGCTGCGCAATGAATTTGAACAGGCTTGGATCACAACCTGCAAGATTCTCCAGCCCCCACTCACCGTCTGAAACTGCCGCAATATCTAAACAAGCACCGCGAAGCTGCGTCTCGCGATCATTGGTGGTAGCTGTCATCGTATCAAACCAGGTGAACACACGAACGAACCATTTCAACTCCTCCGACATTTGGGGAGAGCTGCGCATTCGGATTGCCAATAACTTTGTCACCCCAGCGAACTGGGTTTTGAATTGAGCGACGCCAGTATCACACATGTGAAACAAGCAAAGGACAAGCAATGTTGCGAGGACGGAATCTGACAGTCTTTCACGCGGATCGGCCAACTCCATATTCAGTGCCTTGACAGCCATGCCTCGATGGTATTGCTCCTCTCGAGCAAACCCCTCAGGCCTTGACACCCCGTATTCATCTCGGAACGCCTCGTCTGTCAAGGCGCGATGGGCTAATGATGATAAGCGTGCTGGAAGGGACCGCTCCGTTGGCCTCATCCTCCGCTCATGCCTCTGCCGTATGTTACATGTAGATAACGTAGCGATGGCTTCTTGAAGTGATAAGCTTTCCTGTGCTAGGCGTAGAACATAAGTGCGGAATGGGTTTGCTGGGCCGTCGAAAGCAACGATCATCGGCGCTATGACTTCAGCGTAATAGCTGATTAAATATCTGAGTCGTGGGGTACGTCCAACGGAGCGTGCTAGAAGCAGCTGTGATAGCGACGGCGAGTGGCAAGTTTCTACGCGTAGAGGAGGACTGCCTGTACTTTCTCGCTCGTGCTGTTCCTCAACCACCTCGGTTGCTTCAGTTTCCGGGGCATTTCCCGGGTGTTGCCACTGTGGCATCGTTGATAGCACCTGCGCCTGACTAGACCAGACATTTGTTGTGCTTATCATGTTATGACACCCCGTGGATAGGTCTGGCCTCTCCTGAAAGCGTGGCCGTACATCAAGGTTCGCTATGCCTTGTGAGACATCTGTTCTGTGGGTTCCTGTTTTACTCCACGGGCGATGGTGGGCTGAGAGTGGACTTCCCGTGGGCCATTGTTGGGTGTTGGAAGCGTTATTTGTCCATATTATGTTCCCGTGTGTTTCAGATACAAATGGAGGCCGCTGCTGTTCTTGAGACGTAGGTGAAGTCGTTGATGAGGTCGTAGCTGTGTGAGAGGGTGTGGACTTGTAAGGCGATGGTGATATAGACGGTGATTCGTGTGGGCCTGCTGGACAAGGTGCGGTTGAGGGTGTCGCAGCTGGTTGCGACCCGCTCACCGGAAGCGATAACCCCCTAAGCTTACCCCGGCTAGCAACACCAACACCCCAGGTCAGCTTGGTCTTGTAACCCGAACATTCCCGACCATGATCAAGGCATTGAGAGCAGTAAGGGCGTCGCCGATCACAGGAGAATCCTTGTCGGGCGCAGGTGAAGCAATCCTCCGCTGCACCAGTAACGACAGTCCGCTTGCGTCTCTTTCGCGGGGCTTGATCCGTGGCTGAGGTAGCTTTACGGTTTTGCGCTTTAGAAGCCGGCTCCATATTAGGACCCGGGCGAGCAGCTATCGCTATCGAACCGATAGTCTTAAATGGCTTAACTGGTCAGGGTCAGGAGAGGCGGAATGGCGGAGAAGACCCGCGTTGCGGGGTGCCATAGATGATACAGCGATCGACGAGCAACCGCTAAGGTCGGAAAGCTAAGGCGAGAAGAGTCGAGTAAGCGAGTGGGGAGATGAAGGAAGAAGAAATAAATCCAATGGATTGTAAGTAATGAGCAGTTTAGCCTCAAAATCCCAGCGACCGGTGTCTTGGGGTGTTTTCTCGTTTTGCCCGGGTGTGCTAACCACGCGGAATTAGAGACGAACGATAAGGGACGATCGCTGCGGCTTCGCCCGCCCTTTAATATCACCTAGTTGATCGTAGAGCCGAAACGAAAATTTGGCAACTAACCAGGAAGAGATAAGTGATAATGACTGGATTAACTCGGGAATTCTCGTCACGGAAAAGTATCAAATTAAAAAGCCCCAATTCTATGACGACGCGAACCGAGTCTCAGCGTTTGCCACTCAGACTTTAGACTGGACCTCACCGCGGTGCTACTGACCTGAGTCCCTATCAAGCAATGCGGCCAGTCTCGACACACTGAAATAATGACGCAGTCAAGCCAGAAGATGATGATAGTATAAAGGGGGAGAAAAGTGTTTGGTCTAATCCCAGAGACGGTTCGCTATGCGAGAGAATCAACGTAATCATGTGCCGTCACGTGCAAAGCTTCTTGTGTTGTGCAAACTTGAAGCAATTCTTTGGAACTGTTCCCGTTGCACAGATCTGCCGGCAATACCAGCGAAAGACCCACTCTCTAGCCTCAAAGTAAGGAACTTTGCTGGTTACAAGGGGGAATTAAGAGCCGTTTGTCTGCAGAGTTTTGGGTTTTCTTCACTCCGTAGTACTTTTAAATTTGTGGCTGAAAGTATCTTCTTGAGGATCAGCGATTCTTCAGATTGTTCTGTCGTATTTCGTTCTGAATCTTCTGCTTCGATCTTCGACTCTCCCAGATCTTCTTGGCTTTATCCTATAATCCACTCTTCACAAGGAAAAGCCTAGGTTTCTTGGAGATATCCACATATTATGTTATGATATCCATTCTAAAATTGGCAAAGCTTGTCCCTCGGCCTATGAGCATTCGTTGATTGGAAAGCGCCTAGAGTTCCCAAGGATACCATCTCGGCGGCCGGAGAGCAAAATTAAAACCCTGGTCTTTTACGGAAAGAAGCTGCGAAGGGGTGGAGCCTTGAGAAACTTAAGTTATGCGCTCTCAGAACCTTGAATAAGGAGTATCATCAGCATTAGGTACGGAGGACGTACTACTGCGTTAGTGTGATAGGATCTCGATGTGCCTTTTCTGCCACCGCCTTCCACACAGGGGAAGTCTTTGTTTTTTTCTGAATTTCATTGTCTATACATCAGATTTCAACTGTGGAGAGATTTTGCAGTGATTGAAGGCAACAACCTACATCAAAGTCTACTGCCCTTCATCGTTCGAAGCTTCGGCAATAGTGTCGAAACCCTATGACGCCTGTCTGCCGCTAATTCAGTGTGAATTGTTCGACAAAGATTGCCTTGGCCACATCGGATCGTCATCTTTCCGTTGGGGTCGCGCAAAAAGAACCTCCTGAATTGGGTTGAGACGGTCGAATAGACGACCTCGTTGCGGCCAAGGTCGCCTGTCATGCTGCCATTCGTCTTTAACTAAGACTGCTATTATCTGGAATCAGCGATCGAGGTTCTCTCGTCAAGTGTTAGGGCGTATCGTGTTTGCACCGCACCCATTGGGTCACATTGTGTAGACACCCGAGATAGATTATAACGGCATTCTCGGCCATCAATTTCAACCGACTGTCAAACATAGCAATGTCAATCTTTCGGCCAGGCCGGCTGAGGACGGTCCTCTCAGCGACGGCCGCATTAATTCTCATTTGTACTTTCTATTTATATTGGACCCCGCCTCCGGCTTCGACGATTCCTAGCACTGCCTTTGAAGTTCCTCTCACCGAACGTCAGATTGCCTTTTGGAAGGTGCTAAGGTCAATCTTAGATGCACATGCACCAAATTGCCCGTCCCCCACGCTTCAGGATTCTGCGAGCGCAGTCCATTTCAATGCCACAACAGTTGACCCCCGTCCCGACTTGATCGTGTTCGGCGAGAATGATCTCGACGTGCTGACAGAGGCACATGCGAATTATCTCAATGATATCAGGACGGCGAATAAGTTGCGTCCCGCCCATTCTCCCGGAACTAGGGGTATAGTTACGACGGCCGGGGGTTCCTATCTTCCCGTATTTCTGTCATCCTTGCGGATGCTACGCCGCACAGGGTCAACTTTGCCTGTGGAGGTGTACATGAAGGATGCAAGCGAGTATGAAAAGAAAATCTGCGACAAGGTCCTCCCGGACATGGGTGCGCGGTGCCTAATACTCTCCGATGTTGTAGGCAAGGATGTCATCCAACATTACCAACTAAAGGTCTTTGCGGTCCTCTTTTCTTCGTTCGAGGAGGTTATTTGGATGGATGCCGATTGCTTTCCAATGGACAAACCCGAAATATTGCTCAACCATGAACCCTTCACGTCCACCGGCTTAGTGACTTGGCCCGATTTCTGGGCGTCGTCGGTTTCTCCGGCATATTATAACATCTCCCAGCAACCGATGCCTCCGATGACCGAGCGACAATCCTCGGAGACCGGTATCTTTCTCGTTTCCAAAAAGACGCACTATCTCACACTGTTACTTGCTGCCTATTATAATTACTACGGACCGTCGCATTACTTCCGGTTATTGTCTCAGGGTGCACCGGGTGAGGGCGACAAAGAAACGTTCCTGCAGGCTGCGACTGCAGTGGGCGAACCTTTCTATGCGGTCAGCGAGAGGGTTCAGGCGCTCGGTCATCAAACGCCGGAAGGGCTTTCTGGTTCAGCAATGGCGCAATCGGACCCTATTGGAGACCATGCGCTGACGAGCCAGGGCAAATGGCGAGTACAGGACCCCTCGGTGGACAAGCCTCCTCGTGTATTTTTCATCCATGCCAACTACCCCAAGTTCAATCCTGCAGAGAATGTCTTTGGGTACAATTGGGAAACTACTCCCACCCTTCGACCCGATGGCACAGAGGGCGCGCGTGGACTGCCCCTGAAGACGTCCTGCACCGGTTTGGGATTGACATCGAGAGAGCCTACTGGGAAGAGATCAAATGGGTCAGCTGTAGTCCCGACATAGAATTCAGAACGTGGGAAGGCAAAACGGGCGTGTGTGAGAAAGTTGAGAGCTACTGGAACACAGTCTTTGCGGAACCACATGATGACGACCCTAAGTTTGTTGACGAAGGCTAAATTGGTCCCAGTCTAGTCAGTCCGGGTCCCACCTACAGCCGCTACCGCCATAGTGTTTGGCTCGGCAATCCTTATCACGAAGGCTGGCATAGATTACCTTTTGACACGACACTTGCTGGGTTGTGAGCGCCTATTTGTGAGACCAAGGGACGCAATACGCTGTTTACGAGACGACGACGTGGCCGATTACAATATGTATATACATATCATTCATAATGTTGCATAATAGCAGAGGATATAGAAATGTACGCAAACGTGCACGTTAATGCTGATCAATTCCCATTATTTCGTCAACCGGTACATGCTAAAATTACAGAAGATGCCATTTCAAACCAGCTCGTGGACGAAGAAGCATAACCTTTGGTTGTTACACCATAGCCTCCAGGGCGAATTTATTTCTTGATACCCTTCTCCCTCAGTCTCTGCTCGTCTTCTTCCTTGAGCTCCTGGTCAATCTTGGCTCCCTTTGACGGCTCGTTGCCATGGATCTTGGCCTGGTCACAAGCAAGTCAGCTACAACCATCTTCGACAATCATTACAAGAGGGAAACATACCGGCTTAGTAGAGTCCTTCTTGCTAATCTCCGCCTCAGGATTGACATCATAGTTGTGATGATGACTAGAGTCAGGCTGCTTCTCACGAGCAGCGAGCTTGTTGGCAATGGAGCGCTCGTCCTCTGCATTCTCGTCAGCACTATTCATGCAGCAACATCCCATCAATGGAGAGCAATCAGAGATGGACATACTCGAATCCAAGTTCTTATGGCTGTGCTTCTGGCCCTCATTGTAGCGGTCCTGCTGGTTGAGGACGGACTGAGGCACGTTGCGCTGGTCGCCTGCTTCGTAGAGGCTGCGGTTGCCCACGCTAGATTGGCCCGACATTTTGATCAATTGAGGTTTGATTGTAGAAATTTGAAAAGAAGAAGAAAGAGGTAGTGGTAGAGTACTCGAGGATAATTCAGATTAAAGAGTTGATTGCATTGAATTAGGAATAAAGGTCAGGACGATGCTTTCTTTATACTGTCTTGTATACCCTGGTGTGATGTCATGGCTGAGGTCGCTGAGATCATAGGTGGGGCGCATTACAACAATATCTGGAAGAGGTACTCCAATTATCGTGGGATTGCGCTTTGCACTTGACATGATTAAATCATAGGTGGGATTGGTCTGGAATCACTTCTGTTGTTCTCTCTTTCCTCGATTGGGGGGCTGGGTAGGGCTTGCGTGGGTTTGTTTTGGTGTTTGACTTCCACTCCCGGATCTATGAGATTAGACGGATATGGAATCTCGTAAGAAAATCCATAATTCGGCATGTTTCGCTGCTTTGTCATGTTTCCGCCATCATTTCGCACTGACGATCTTCTAACCAATTAATCATTACAGATCATGCGTCTATATGCAAGACAAGCGTACTTGTATACTACTAGCACTAGTAGGTGGGCACCACCACCATTGATTCTCAACAACCCACGTCCGATCTCGGTGCCCGAACGACAACCCCAATACTTCAATATCTCTACAACGTCACCAGCAACACGTACCTACAGTAGCCACGCACACCCTACTCGCAACCTCCCCAACCCAGCACTCCAACCCCAAACCCGCAAGATGTCATCAGCATCAACAACAACAACACCAACCCCGCAACCAGACCCCCGCTACGTCCAACTCTTCGACGACCTCTCTACCCGCTTTGCGCAGACCTCGCTCCCCCCGGAAAAATGGTACATCCTCGCCATATCCACAATAGTCGCCCACCGGGACCCGGAACGCTGCGACCAGCTGTACCTGCACCTAATCAACCAAGCGCCCTACAGCACCCCATCAGCTAGACAAGCACTGGTCCGGCGCCTCCGCGAAGCTCTCTTCAAAAGCATCATCATAGTGGGCGTGTGCAAGCCCATCGAGGCCATCCTCGCAATCAGCAAATACGAACGCGAAGAAGACAAGGACTACACCTTCACGCGCGAGAACTGGCAATGCGACCAGGCCAACCATGACCGCGGCGTAGCGTGGCTGGAGAAGCTGTATGCGCGGAACACGACCGGGACGCTGGATTTGTTCCGCGCGCATCAGGACTTCGGGTGGTTGTCGAAGGAGATTACGTATGGGTTGTTTTTGTCAGATCGGGGGGTCTTGGATGATCTTGATACGCAGATGGTGGTGCTCCCGGCTATCATGAGCCAGAATCTGAAGAATGAGACGCATTGGCATATTCGCGGGACGAGGAGGCTGGGGGTCAGCATGGAGGATGTGAAGGTTGTTTGGGAGTGTATTCAGCTCGTTGCTGGGTTTTATGGGGTGGAGTTGGATAAGGTGCCTACTGTTGAGGAGGTGGAAAGTGATGTTTGATTCTTGGGCATGGTTTGTATGTATAGAGATTTGTTGGTGTTGCATCTTGGATTGCGATGATGATGGAATGTGTTTACGATTGAATGTGAACCTGTTAGAGGAAATATTAGAGATATGAGTTCTATATACCCCGTATCACTTTGATGTTATATTGGCTTGTTGATCGATTGTTGCTCAAGAGATATACTTTTGTTTAGCCCCCGCGATAAAATGTACGGAAAAGGTTTAGCGAGAGCGGAGCAACTTTTATCGGCCGCCGATGAAGCCCAAAACGACCGAGTCCAACAAACCAATACCCCACGAATTGACCATACTATCACGCCGTAATCAGTGTACTGATCACAATGGGTAAACGCAAGGAGATCAAAGACAACGATGTCGAAATGAGCGGCACTGACCCTCGCGTGGACGGCGATGAGTCCGACGAGGTAAAACACCACCTTCGCATACATCATTTTTTTGCTAACACCGATAATGATCGCAGGACATGGACATTGTGAATGTCGATTTCGAATGGTTCGACCCTCAGCCGATCGATTTCCACGGCCTTAAGGTCCTCCTCCGCCAGCTCTTCGACTCCGATGCCCAGATCTTCGACATGTCCGCGTTGTCGGACATGATCCTCGCGCAACCGTTGCTGGGATCAACAGTCAAGGTTGACGGTAACGAGTCGGATCCGTATGCCTTCTTGACCGTGCTCAACCTCCAGGAACACAAGGTACGCTTCGCGAGAGCAACGCCCAAGAGAGAAAGTCGCTCGCTAATACCCAGAATAGGACAAACCCGTCATCAAGGATTTGATATCCTACCTCCAGCGTAAAGCGTCATCGAACCCCAACCTCGCCCCTCTTTCCCAGCTTCTTTCTCAAACACCTGTTCCTCCGATCGGATTGATTCTTACCGAGCGATTGATCAATATGCCCGCCGAAGTGGTTCCTCCCATGTACACCATGCTCATGGAGGAGATTGCGTGGGCTATTCAAGACAAGGAGCCCTACAAGTTCTCGCATTACCTGATTGTCTCCAAGAATTATGAAGAGGTTGAGTCGAAGTTGGACATGGAGGACTCGCGGCCGCAGAAGAAAAAGAAGAAGTCGGCTGATAAGGTTGAGAAGTTCTACTTCCACCCTGAGGATGAGATTCTGGAGAAGCACACGCGGTGCTTCGGATCTATCGAGTACACACATAAGCATGATGAGGGACACTCGGATTCAAAGCGCGCGTTCCAGGAGGTGGGTATCAGGACCAATGGAAGTCTGATGCTGTTCGATGCGGATAAACTTGAGGGTGCGATCAACGAGATGAAGGACTTCTTGCAGCCTCCGGTATGAGTTTGATGGTTACGGCATGGTTTATGATGTTAGAAAAAAGTTGCTCTGCGCCTTTGTCCATAGCGTGTCTATATCCAGGTTTTGAAAATACATTAATAACTCTATGGTCTCCTTTCTGGGGTTCAAATATGTTCATGCGTTTATGACTGGTTCTATCTTCGTAAATCTTCGTCCATTCGTTTATTCCCATTGAGTTCCCTTCAGGCGTTGCATAAGGTATTCTACCTCTACGACCTTAGTCAAGGGGATGACATATTCCTAGACGGGATTAGTATGTTGCTGGCCAAGAAAGGAAGGGAAAGTAGTTTCTCACCTTGTACATGGCAACGACGGCCTCCACATTGATCTTGGAGCCGGTCTCGGTCGCGAATGCGGGATCAGTTCCGTAAGTCTTCGCCTTCAGCGCCAGTCTCTCCAGCACCTTCCGCTCGACCTTTGCGTCCGTAATAGCGTCATCGATTCCAGCCCGATCATTCGCCTTGATCATCTTGACGAATCGCTCCGGCTCCTTCTGGAACTTCGACTCGGCCACGAACTTGCCGAAGTGAATGCGCCGAGACAGCGCCTGCAGACAGCTAACGTCGGCGGTCGCAGCGGACCCATAATTCTCCTGCGTCTCGCCGCGATCCTCGCGTCCAAATTGCGGACAGACAGCGGGAAGAATATCCTCGATGTAGCGCTGTTTGATGATATCGTTGACGTTCACGTCATTGTCATGGAGAATCTTGGGATACTCCAGCGGCGCTAGGATCGGTTCTTCAAGGACATCCGGGAAGAAGGGATATTCATCCGGGGACTGGTAGCGACGTACACGCGACTGGATACGCTCCTGCTCGCGGAGCAGATAGTCCATGAGAGGGATGTCATCGGGGATCTTGACACCGCCGGGGACGTAAATGGGCCTGTTGAGGGGAAATTGGACGCGCTCAATCAGGTGGAAGGTGATGGTGTCTTCAAGACGGCTGTAGCATTACACATGATCAGCTCAGAGATGTCACAGGGATTTCGGGGTTCTGTGGTCGTTTTGGTGTCTGGTCTAGACGGCAGCCGTGCGACTGCGGGGCAACGTGTAAGCCGTGGGAAATAAATGCCTTGCGACTTACATCAATTGGAACCGGATGTTGGCTAGATCCAGGGCCTTGGAGGCGTCTGAAAGGTCAATGGCTGTGTCCATGATTTTTTTCCTCTAGTACTCCGTTAGTTGGTTGTGGTTTAAATTTCTCGTTCGTTTTGTTGCCGACAAGTGAGTGTTTCCTGCGGGGCCCCGATTGCGCAGAACGATATTCCTTTTCCTCGAGTCCACTGGTCGTTGGGCTGGGGAGGAGTATACCGAGTATTATGAATACTTCGAGGTTCACACGACTTATATTGAGGTCTGCTCAGCTAAGCATGAGTCTGATAATTAGTAAATGGGGGTTTTATCATCGAATAATATATACAGAGAACCATTTACGAGTGCTTTTATAGCAGGGAGCACCCTTCATAACCCTTCCTAAACCGGAGTACAGAAGCCTGCGTCGATTTAGGGAAAAGCGCTAAGCCGCCGATCCATCGTTTCGCAGGGAAACGAAAGGAAACAGAAATCAGAACTTGAGTAGATGTCCGGAAGGCATTCATAGAGCATCAACTGAAAGGATCGCATTACGAAGGATCCCAGATTGATCCGATGGTCATCTCGAAATGTTCCTCTGGCTGATGCCGTCATGTGGTAACTTTCATTTGCAGGGGGTTTCAAGTCTAGATTTCAGTACTGACGGTATTACAACTTATAAAGCCAAGCATTAAGAATGGATTCGCACTGGGAAAAAACAAATAATTTCTGAAGAAGCTGCAAACCCCCATTTTACAATCTTCTACTGAAGCTCACAAACACTCACACTGTCCTTATCGACGACTTTCATGTGCTACGGTTCTTGATCCGCGGTAATATTACGGTACATAGTTCAGGTTCCGGCAACGCGGTAATTCATTTATCGCGTGCAGCTCCAGCTGAAAGTTCTCTTCCAGAGAGCCGAAAAATAGAGCAAGTGCACTGCCGACTCTATTCGACCTGCCCTGCTTTGCCTCCCCCCTCTCTAGACCTTCCGCATGGGCTTTTAACCCCCCAATAACTGCTCAGGTCGGTGATATGGACAAACACCGCCGCGATGAGTCGCCTTCTGGTCTGTCAGATATTGTCGAGCATGACGGTCTTCTAGGGACCGGCCTGACGGTAAGTCCCTACGGACCTCTATATCTGCCTGTTCTCTCCAGTCGCCCAATGATCCGCTGATAGATCCTTCCGGGACTCAGACCAGACATATCGAGGCCTCGGGAGGAAAGTAACGTCGACAGCCGGGCATTTAATGGGCCCTACGGCCGACGGGAATCCCGCCCATTACCACAATGCGATGGCGGATATTCAGCGCGAGCTGCGGCGGCCCAACACGCAGCGCAGAGTGTTCGCCTTGACCCAAACCACGCCGACGGATCTGGTCCGCTCCAAGCTGTCGACTTCCGAAATCCAATCGCGAGCTCTCTCCTCTCTACCCGACGACCTCCTTGCGAACATCCCCGACGACAGCAGCTCCTACTCCCTGTTTGAAGGCTTCCAGGCCTCCCAAGACGATATTGAATATAGAAAGGCCCATCGACGGCGCGTTTCCAAATCGAAGAAATTGTTGAAAGATGGCGAAAACCGGGCGGCCCTTCCGTCCACCCCGGCGGACCTGAAGAAGGAACGCGATCTGTTAAGTCGCCGCATGCAACTGATGGGTGTGCGCAAAAATATGTGCAGCTCGGAGATACACGATATAGACAACAAGATCGCGAACCTTCACAACATGCGCAAGATTGTTTTGGACCGGTTGGCTGGACTAGAGATGGAGGAGGCGGAATTGGAACACGAACGTGGGTGGACTTGGCTCGATCATCGCAGTTTGCTTCTGACTTTGGGTAATAGTGACCGAGCTCGAAAATAAACTTGAGGATATTGAAGAGGAAACACCGGAAGCTTCTGCTGTTATGGGCACTCCGAAATCATCCGCAAACGATGAATCGATGGGCTCCGAGGATCCGGCCATGGACGCATCTTTCATGTCGGAATCAATCTATCAGAAGATTCCATCGCCGAAGAGCCTGAAGCACAAATCAAAAAGTACGTCTCTTCGGACCGTTTCCATTAGACTATTGGCTAATCCTTTCAGGAAAACGGTCTATGCCTATTCTACACGAGCACTTCAATCCCGGATCGTTGATTAAGGAGATGGAAGCGCATACCGATATGGTGACGGCCATTGATTTTGACTATCCTTTCGGCACAATGATCACCGCAGCGTTGGATGATACCGTGCGAGTTTGGGATCTCAATGTTGGAAGGTGTACTGGGTTTTTGGAGGGGCATAACGCATCGGTTCGATGTCTCCAGATCGAGGACAACATCGTGGCTACGGGTTCTATGGATGCCTCAGTCAAGCTTTGGGATTTGAGTCGCGCCCGCTCTAGACCTCGAAGCAGCCGCATTAACAAGCAAGAGGACGAAGAAGACGCTGCTGACGATGCTTCCCAAGTATCCCATTCAACGACGTTGGAGGATTGCCACGTATTTTCACTAGATTCCCATGTCGGTGAGGTGACAGCGCTCCATTTCCGAGGTGACAACTTGATCTCTGGCTCGCTGATAAGACTCTGCGCCAATGGGATCTCGTCAAAGGACGTTGTGTACAGACATTGGATGTTCTTTGGGCTGCAGCTCAGGCGGATACATTGAATGGAGACAGCACATGGCGACCGTCCGGACGCGTACCAGACGCATCTGCAGACTTTGTGGGGGCGCTTCAATGTTTCGATGCCGCCCTGGCTTGCGGTACTGCCGACGGCATGGTCCGTCTGTGGGATCTGCGCAGTGGCCAGGTTCACCGTAGTCTTGTTGGCCATACTGGCCCCGTTACATGCCTACAGTTTGATGATGTGCATCTCGTGACGGGAAGTATGGACCGTAGTATTCGGGTATGTTGCTGCTGACTCCGCGAGGATATGGATGCCATTGCTGACATGTTTTAGATCTGGGATCTCCGTATGGGATCTATCTACGACGCATTCGCCTACGATAAACCTATCACTAGCATGAAGTTCGACGCGAAGCGAATTGTGGCTGCTGCAGGAGAGAGTGTGGTGAAGGTTTACGACAAGGCGGACGGCAACCACTGGGACTGTGGTGCCGGTGTTGGTGTGGACGAACAAGGACCGCTTCCTGCGACCGTTGACCGAGTGTGCCTCAAGGACGGATTTCTCATTGAAGGTCGCCAGGACGGTATTGTTGGCGCGTGGACGTGTTAGAAATGATTCTATGAGGCATTGGCTCTGGGACGGATTTGGATGTACATGCGGGCACTTGTCTTTATATTTCCTGCGAACTCTCAAGAGCATCTTGAATGTGTATATTATATGTCAGCAATGTTCTAGAAGCGAAATAAAGCTGTCCAGGACCGACAGCATTTGTAAAGTGTCTTTCGTGAAGTGATCGTCTCTTAACACATTGAATATAAATGACTGGGAGTAAATTTAGGGTAATGGTAAAGGAGACTGAAACGGAAGGCAAGCCCGCAACCATTGTGTTTCTTTAGACCTTACAGATCGTGTTAAGAACTTCGTATCCCAATTTTTTGTCGCCAACTGGTCAATACATGGGTTGAACTTCGGCCTTCCGTAATTTGGGTGGGGCGAACAAGTCACGCTTTACTGGATCAGGGATTCTACTGACTTGCATACCAAATACTTACTCGGACTTCGCGACAGCATCGACACCGCAAGGTTAGCGTTAAATACACCAAAACGCGTGCTAATACGGTCGCAAAGCAGTGAAGAATTGATTGTGATCTCTCATAGCTTCTTTGAACCGCTGTGCGCTCTGCAGACTGCACGCTGGTGTTGACCATCAGTAATCTCCGCCCGCGTCGCATCCGCGCGCCGTGTTCCTTCTCGTGAATGAAAGCGAAGCTTTATCATTCGCTACCTCAATATCTCAATTAAGCAGCTTCTCTGGTCCCTTTAATCGACCTTATCTTTAGGGAGTTAAAGGGGTCGTTGTGTGAGCGGCGCCTTGTGCCGCGGTTGTGGTGCGCCTCACTTCAACTTTACGAAGACTCCATCAAGGCGGCGACTCAAGTAACATTCTAGATCGCCTCTAATCGATGTGCAGTACTTGCTAGGTAACTACTCACTGAGCTGCCAACTGTAATATTATACTCTCCGACTGGTGGTCCCACAACCGCCGTTGGGTATTGAATCAGTGTTGCCATACCCTGTGGATGCGACAGCATTGATTCACTTTCGACGGGCTTACTGTAAGTGCATGCTTTGCTTTGCTTTCTCCCGGGTTACAAGTACCCCGAAGCCCTTACGGCCAATGTATCATTCTCATTCATGCAATCTTGACTAACATTGCTCTCAGGGCGCTTACTTTACGTTAAGTTCTCACGAAATCGACGTTTGTCTCCGATAGGAGACCATCAACATGCCTCCCAAGCGCGCTTCTACTCGGCGTGCTGGAGCTGTGACTCGGACCTCTGACCGTGGGACTCCTTCGTACATCCCCAACATGTCAAGTCCAGACGCGAGGAACCCTGCCTTGCCTGATATACCGACCAAGCAATCGTTCGCCTATGGCTCATCAACAACACCAATTCTTCCCCGTGAGCTTGCGGCGAAGCCGAGGATGAATCTGGTTGAGATGGCAACCAATATTGATGAAGGCCGCAGGGTCGCCCAAGATCGAGACTTTGACAGACCTCACATGAACACACGCTCACGAAGGCAATCTGTTTCTGCAAGCTTATCCCCTGTTCGGCGAAGCCGGCGTGAGCCAACTCCAGATCAGTTGCAGCTGCTTGATTCGCTACGTGAAGCCACTATGTCTCCTAATCCTAATGGCCAAGACCATGGGGAGCAATCTACTCCCACTCCTACTCCTCCTATCCCACACACTCTGTCCACAGCATCCAGCCCTGCTACCGAATCTCTTACGAACCCCAAATACCCTGTCTTGACTACCGACCAACTTTATCCGTCTCCACTTCTGCGGTATGGATCACCTGCTCGGAATGCAGTCTCGTTGAGCTCACCCAATTTTGCAACCTCTGTCGACAATGAATCAGTCATCTCGTGGAACGTAGAACGTGATATCCATGAAGATGACCTGCAACGGACACGTCCGAATGGGTATCTTGATGGACCGCATGGAAAGAACATTACAGCTCCTCCCCGCCGGTTTTCAGGCTTCGCGTTTGCCCAAGAGCCTATTGAAGAAGTTGACGAACCGACTACCCAGCTCTCTATCTCTAAGTCACGTTCTCCTGAGGCTGCGACAGTCGACATTCAGCCTAAGCCTGAACCGCTGTCAGAGTCCGAAGTGGCGCTATCGCCTGAGCCCACGCCCTCGCCCGAACCAGAACCAGAACCAGAACTAGAACCGGAGCCAGAAAGGGAGCCAGAGCCTGAACGCTTGCGTGGGCGTGAGCGCGAGCCCACGCCCCCTCGTGCTCCCGCTCCCGCCCCAGCGCCCAGGATCGCATCCAAACCTGAGCTTTCTTCAGCGCCCACTAGGACAATCATTCCTAGCAATCCTATCCGAGAGACTTCATTTGATGAATGCACGTATGAGAACGCGTCCCCGTTACGAGAACGTGTCAAAAGCAATGTGCGCTCAGTGGGGAATGCAGCAATTAGTTTTCAGAGAGGCTTGCCTGCCAAAGCACTCACTCTGGTGGTACTAGCAGCAGCTATTCTCACCGCATGCCTTTTTGGTGGCCACATTTCCACCATTTCCTCCAGTATCGGCTCGCATCTTCCATTGTACGGAGGCCCATTTCGCGATTTGAATGCAACTGCATTGCAAGCAGTCCACGGTCTTTCTAACAAAGTGATTCGCCTGGGAGAGGAAGTGTCCTCGCTGTCTAAGGAGATGGATGTCATTAAATCCGAGGTTGAACATGTACCTCCTCCCACCACCATTGTCCAACCACTCCCAGCTCAACAGGAGACTCCAAAAACCAATTTTCTATCTATAGGCATGGGTGTTATTGTCGATCTGTACAACACAAGTCCCACATCTGGGCGGTCTGTGGGCTTGCTGCACAAGCTCCACTCTCAACTTTTGTCTAGAGGCTCGCAGCGACAGCCGGAGCCTCCCCTTGCAGCTTTGACACCCTGGCAGGACGTGGGAGAGTGTTGGTGTAGCAAACCTCGCTCTGGTATGTCTCAGCTTGCACTGAACCTGGGGCGTGATATCGTACCAGAGGAGGTGGTTGTAGAACACATACCGAAGGGGGCAAGCATCCGACCAGAAGTTGCACCTCGGGATATGGAGCTATGGGCTCAGTTCCAGATCGTCGATGAATCGAACTCTGGCTCGTCTCCTTCCCCCAATCCTTCACGCAAATCCGGGATGTTGTCTGAGCAATTTTCTCTCCACGACCACATCATTGATACACTTCGGTTAGCATATAAAGGTGAACCCGAGGGCGCATACTCGAACGACGAACTCCTGGGACCTTCATTCTATCGCGTGGGACAGTGGACTTACGATCTCCATGCCTCAAACCACATCCAGAAGTTTGAGCTAGACGCTATCATTGATGTTCCAGCGATCCGAGTGAACAAGGTGGCTTTCCGGGTTATGTCGAACTGGGGTGGAAACGATACATGTCTGTATCGGTTGAAACTATACGGTCACATATAGGCGACTAAGCTTACATTTCAGATACCTTTATGTTCCTTTTCCTTTTCTGGTCCTGATAGGCGGTGCTTCGCTCTAAGAGGGGAAAAGCGGTGTTATGGCGCCTGCCAATTCCTCATTCCATTCCTGGGTTTGTTCGCTTTGATTTGCAATTCGACTCCATCATGCAGGTTGGCCTGGGACATGATACCCAGTTGCACGATTCGCTTACTTTGATATTTCTACTCATTCTTTGGATGCATGGCACAGCACGGAAGGGGCGTTACGGTCTAATTCGAGATATCCAGCTCAATTCTTAGTCTCTGCATTTTAGTACAGCCCCACCTAAGATATGCTTCTACGGCTTATACATACAATATGTGTTTCTAAACCGTAATGGAACAACTCTAAGTAGTCTTTAGAAAAGTAGTGTATATTACAGATCAGGTTTTCAACCAAAACTGTATCCTTCTAACTGGAATCTCAATATCTAAGTAAGTTATATTATGACAGCACTAAAAAAGATATTCTCCTTAAATATAATGTTACCTCAATGAATGGTAATACTTTGAATCTGTCCTGTCGTATGATGGCACAGTACCTAGAGTCTCTGAGTTAGTAGTATACAATGATTGTTGATATGATATGGAGCGGAAAGTTGACTATACCGCAGTTTACGAAAGTTGTAAAATGTAATAGATATTCTATTACAAGAATCCGCAGAGGAAGCTGTAGCTATAAGTACTCCTGAACCAGGTCTTATTCACACGCACAAACGAAACCAGCTCATCTGCAATCCCAGTGAATTGATATCGTAGTCGTCACTGCGACACCCTCGAGATGCGCTGCAGGCTGGAAGTTGGTTTAATAATCACCTTGCAGTCTTTAAGGGAAAGAATCTACTTGCTTGAGTTGGGTCGGCTGTTCAAGGGTTTTGCTCTCCAGTCTCTCTCTTGCTGGATCTATAAAGATATAACTCTTAACAGGAAGCTCAGGGTACCGGTTTGGAGAAGTATAATAAGATACTCTGGAGGGCTAGACCTCAACTAATATTTCATGTTGGGGATCATGTTGGGATCAGGTGTTTCAGGTACGACCTTACCGCCAAAAGGGGATTGATATTTTTATATGCATACTACATTGCAGCTACAATAGTACAAATACTAGGAAATCACCTTAAGACCAAGTGCTTGATTCCTAACAATAAAGCTTGTCTGGAAACCTGTTCTAAGAAAGGGATCTGATTTACCAACACCGCGCTCTTTAGTTCTAAACTATTCCTCATGGTCACCCCCTGGGGCATATCGTCCATAAAACCCGTCAATGAATTCTATCCGTAACAGTCAGTACGAGCAAGCAAGCTCTAAGACTGGATGGGGATTCCAAAAGAGATGACATACCAGAAAATGTGACGACCTGGTCCTCGTTTACGTCCATTGTCTTGAACAACATCCTGGCATTCTCCTCGGTTAGGATGCCACTGTCGGGGTGGGCGTTCACCCAGTTGACCAACTCATCCTCCGTGAGAATTTCTAGCAGGCATAACACATGAGCTATTGGAGACAGTATTTCTATAGAGAAGGCACTTACTGTCCCTACTATTTTTGTTCTTTCATTTGATGTGATTAGTGACAGTGCAAAATGTTTTAATTATGTATACTCACCATGCTCTTGAATAGAGCCCTCCATTCTTTAATCTCTGCCCTTGTGAGTGTCTATTGTATAGATAATGTTAGACCACATATAGAAAGTTTGCTGTAATCCATCTTACCATTTTGCTTTTCTGTGTTGTATGCTGGGCCTGAGGTCTTTCTTCACTTAGACAATTGAAAGATTGCACCAAAACTCTACTTGCGCAAGTAACCACACTATTTATACCTTCGCCTGCTTATAGCCATGACTCGTGACACCTAAGTTTCTGTCATAAAGAGGGATTCCTAAACCCATTCTAGATTTATCTTGAGGCATTATTAGACCAGTTATCTGTAGATACCAACTACAAGTGGAGATAGTAGCCACTGAATGATGAATGATAGCTGGCACGGACCCGAACTTTCACGGTCAAAGGCCGGATATTTGGGTTATTGGGACAAGAGATCTACATCTCGGTAGCGAGCTTGATCTATATCAATCCAATAAGAGCAAGCCACCGTCTCTATGGCGGGGTTGTTGTCGATAAGCGAGCTTGACAAGATCTGCATGAGCTCAGCCAGCCACAACTTCCGTACTCCGCGAAGAGTCTAGTCCGGAACTATCAATATCGCTTTACTCGTTGATTGCCGGCTTTTTTCCATTCATTTGAATTTACACTATAAAGTTGTACACGTACACGGCTTCAGCTGGCCACAATCCAGACTGATCGTCCTATGGAAGCGTTGAACAAGTCCAGTAAGAGTTTTTCATCTATTCTGCTCAGAGGACAGTTAGATACAGACCAATTGCTTTTTTGACTTTTAGCACTACGTACTCTGTAGTATTCTAGTTCAGGTGACCCTGCTGCTTGACGGCTGGAGCTGGGATTAATCCTACAGGCGGATTAAATCACTGTTCCGTGTCTAATACACCATTACTCTACAGACTAGGAGAGAGTATGTCAGAGTATTCAAATCGCTATGCGCTCTATAGCCACACTACGTATTCCTCACGAGATACTGTGTAAGTGGGGGGCCTACGAGTCAAAAAAAGATTCCAGATCTAGACAGATTCGCGGATAAAACATTAAGAAATGGCTCTTGTCATCGGAAGTATGTACACGAGTTGTCGAAAGTCTGCCAGCTTCGGTAAGGCTTCAGTCAGGTTTATCAACCCCTCTGCTTCATTTGCGTGATTCGTAGCTAAGTCTCGGGCTCAACCTCCCCTGCGGTATGACCCTTTGCTCGCTGCTCTCGTACGAAAGAGACGTTTCCCCCCCCCTCTTTGAAGTGACTTACATCCTCGCTTTGAATTGCCCGAAAGTGAAAAAATATTTCACCGTCACTGGAGCTTTTGTATGCCGTCTTTCTTCCTGATGTTCGGGCAATATTTAAAACTAGCATCTGAATGGTTGTGTATGATATATATACCCCTCTACGAGATTTAGCAGAAACCCCCACTGTAGGATTCCATGGAATTCTTAGTGACTCCTTGCCATTTCGCATGGTTGTTCAAATCAGCCAAAGCTGAGATATTAGGGATCAGCGAGCTGATTCGGTAGTTACACCGCTACTGGTACTCGAGGAAACCTAAAGATATGTATGCAGTCAGTATATCCACCACTTCTGGCCACCTAGATTGGTATTTGACAACTAGAGTACTGCAGGGTCAGTAACCAATACACATGGCCTGCTCATTTCGGATTTATTTCCGGTAACTGTGTCTTGACGGTGGAGGAATGGCGTTGACTTATTGGAACCTAACGCTATCTCATCGAATCATCACCTATACAACAAGAAGGAAAGAAATCCCACAACTCAACAGACCCATTAGAATCCACTGTCAACGGTCCCTTTTAAACCAGCAAAGTATTGGCATCATGATCAATCACCTCATAGTAAAAACTTATTAAGACTGCACCGATTGCAAGCCTGGAGCCTGCATTGCCGACATTCACAGATATACTCCGGGAGACGATGGTAGTGGCAGCCGAGCCACGAATTGGGGGACACCAAACACTTCTTCCTGGTAGTCGCTTTGTATCTGGTGCTTGGAGAGATTTGACAGTTGTGGTTGAATAATGGGAGTTAGCTAAGTTAAGCTACGATACTGACTGACCCATATCGGCAGAAGAGATCGACCTAATAGCAGGCTCTACTAGTAGAATGCCATCCGCGCTGAAGTATATAAAAACCTTGCTATAAACTATACATGAGTTCTAACTTCTTTCATCCTGGGAAGAATCAATATAACCAAGGATAAACAGGAGAAAAACAAAATAAAATAAAAAACGTAGGAGATTCATATATATTGTACTTGAGAATGGAACCAACTCCACAAGAAAAACTTGGTACACACCCTTGGATTCCTTCAGTTATCCTAGTGGGGAACAAAAGGCAAGAGCTCACGAAAAGGGACCTGCCAGCTTGTATCCACTGCCGTATCGAGTGGCAAGTACCAGTCAACCTTTTTTTAAGGGAAACCCCTATACCAAGGCAGCCAGAAAAGAGAGCTTCGTTGGTAACACCACCCTGAAGTGGTCGCCAAATATTCCTAGCTGTGGGAGAGATTGGCAGGTGGTCTCACGATGGGCGATATCGCGCTATATTCACATACAATACTGTCATTAAGCCGAAGCCTGGGAGGAATGACCGCAATCTCCCTGCCTTAGAGTTTCAGGCGGCTGACCGTCCTATCTTCTTGGTAAGCATATTAGACTCATGGATCTTACGAACAGTCATCACTCACATCCTGTTTATCAACACCTTTGTCAGCGCTTACTCATAGTAGGAATGTCAGTCGACCTAGTGCTAGCATTGAATTATCACTCACATAGCAGATATTGTCTCCTTCAAGAGAATAATCTCCGTTCAGATCTTGGTAAATAGGAACCCGATAATTTCGTTCGTTTTGACTCTATTTGTTCTATATCAGCATCGCCGGGATGCCCTGCTCACGTACATAGGGGCCATTACTCACAACAAAGACGACATAGTTGGTACCAGCCACAACCTGCCGAGTGACACCGTAAACAAAATCAATCTTGAGTTTGTTTACAGCAACCTCCACGGCGCCCCGTGCCCCGGCGTCATTCGCACAGTCAGTATTGGAGAAAGAGCCGGGAATACTTTCGGCTCCGGGCGGTGGAATACCATAATTTTTGACGCATTTTGTGGTGTACGTGTCGAGATTGGGGTTGATCTCCTGAGATGAAACCAAAACAGTGCAGAGCACGGAGGAAAGGATAGTGGGTAGGGAGACACGCATATTGGGATTATAGTGATCTTTGACACTAGTTTTGGCTCCTGTAACTTTGATTATTTTCAGGTTGAAGATATTTCCTGGTTTTCTGAGAGACTAAGTACGGTTTCAAAAGAGATGAGAGGACCTCCGTTATAAATGTACAAAATCTAGTCACTTGACAAACCCGATGCAAAGGCGTTCAATAGTTTGCTGTAGAGAAGACTGACAGGCAATAGTTATTAAAGTATATTTCTGTTTTGAAAAGACATCTATATTTTTTGGGACAAGATAGTACAGATAGGGCATAGTATGCCGTTCTAATTCTGTATATGATCTGCGGATCATCCACTAGTGAATCTCAACTCTCTCTTCCGTGTAATCTAGCCCACTTGCAATCTAGGACGGCTATTTCTATACGTTAACCCGATGACGCTATTGAGAATAGTGGAAGAGGCTGGTCAGTCCCGGTGGGGGGAAGATCACCATTCTCCTTCAGAAAGAGTTGCTAAAGCAGACATTTGACTCATATCATCATCACCTATATACTTGAAAAAGAACCCTACAACTCAACAGACCCCTCAGAATCAACAGTCAATGGCCCCTTCTTGACCATCATCGTAAGAATCTCATAAAGCACATCCGCGGCAGCCCTACCCACAGCTCATTAGCAAACCTATCCCAACCAAAGCAAACAAGGAAAAAGAAAAGAAGGAAGGGGGCATACATAGTCGACAACTCGGCATTGGTATCATAAGCAGGCGCAACCTCCACGATATCGGCTCCGATGAGATTCAACCCGTCCAGACCACGGATGATCGTGCGCAGTTCGCGGGTCGACCAGCCGCCTGTTTCGGGGGTACCGGTTGCGGGGGCATCTGTAAATTTTTAATATCTCCTATTAGCCGTTGTTTTGTGTTTTGGGTGGGTTTTGCTCTAAATGAGAGAGGGGGCGTAGGTAGTATGTTTAGGTGGACTGGGTTGGGTATATTGGAGGGAACTTACAGGCAGGATCGAGCGTGTCGATATCAATGGAGAGGTAGACGGGGTTTTCGGTACCGACACGATCGCGGATTCTTTTGATTATGCCGTCCGTGCCTTGTTCTCGTTAGTTATGTTTTGCCTTGGGGGTTATTGTGTGCTTAGGTGGAGGATGTGCGAGTGATTGGGGAAGTGGGGAAGGGGAAATATATACCGATGGTGTCTATATCTCTAGCCTCGACGATTTCAAACCCACAGTATCCGTCATTCTCATAGTCCGAGGGACCGGAGAGGGTAGTCCGGATACCAGCATGGATATTCGTATCATTTCTGAGGAGTCCTTCCATCGCCGCATGGTAGAAGTAAGTTCCATGGTTAACGGAGGCAACCTGGCTTGGGGAGCCACCGAAGACCTTGGGTTTCCAGGAGTCGCTGTTGGGATATTAGCTCTGGGATACAGGAAAAGTGGGAAGGTGGAGTTTACGACGTACAGATGGCTGTCGAAGTGAATGACACTGACAGGGCCATATGCCCTGTTGATACTGCGCAGCAGGGGCAGGGTGATGGTGTGGTCGCCTCCTAAGGTGATGACGCGGGGGAGGGTTTTGCCTGCTCGCGAGAGACCGTATTCGTTTGCGTCGGTGAAGGGCTTGCGCATTAGGATGCTATTGTGGCCTTCTTCGATCTGTTGGATTGCCCAGGCGTTGTCGTAGCTGGAGTTTTGTTTGTTAGTTCTGGAGTGTCTTTTGGGGGTGGGTTAGGGCATACGAGGTAACGGGGATGTCGCCGCAGTCTATGACTTTTAGATCGCTGACGAAGGGATTGGCTTCTAGGGGAACGTTGTAGCCGCCGCTGCAGGGTATCTTTGTTAGTCCTGGTCATTGTGAGCAATGGTTCTGTGGAAAAGACCTACTAGAGATTGAGCCGGCGGGAGCCTTGTCTGATACCGCTGGGGCCGAATCTAGCACCGGGCCTGTATGAGGTGCCGGTATCGAAGGGGGCTCCTATGATTGTATTAGTTATGTTTAAAAGGAAACAGTAGAAGTTGATGGTCTGGTCATACCTATGAAGGCAATATCGTACTTCTCATCCTCGCTAGAGAGACAGGGGAAGTAAGGCAAACGAGCGAAAGTCGAAATGCCTGAGAAGACGGAGTCGGCCTGATACTGTCAGTCGAATGTTTACAAAGCATAGGCGGCAGTTGCACACATACTTGAGTACCACCATCTCCTGGCAAAGTGTTATACCAAAGTTTCTGGTGCGGACCGGACATGGGGGTTTGGTGCTTGCTATGGGCAGAAGCCACAGCAGAAAGAGCGAGCAGGCTCACTGTTGTGACGAGCATGTTGGCACTGATGCTTGATGTGATTGCGAAGAGAGAAGGACAAATTCGATACTGATTTGATTGGAAGACTGAGGTCTATTTCTTGTGTGATGAAGGGAACTAAACTGCTATTTATGTGACCCTTCACGGCAATCGTAAACTCCATTTCCTCAGATTGCTTTCCCCTCGCCTACTTCCGACCAACTATAGCCCTGGTAAATCCATAATTCACTTTGACTGCTTCCTTTGTGCAATGTTCGAGATCAGGTAACCACCACCTGCGTCCCGGATGGATCAACCACACTGAACCAGTCAAGGGACATAGGAAAGACACCGATAAACCTTCGAGATTCTGTCTCCGATAGGAACAAGGAGATATAGTTGGCGTCTGCTCCACTCCCTACAACTTCCTACTTTGGAGGGTATTGGGAGTGGGACAGGCTGAGGATTTACTATCTCTTTGAACATGCAGCCGAATGCAAGGATTGCCATTCAGTTTCCCAAAACGGAAAGTTTGGGGAGAGAATCCACGCGAAGACGAACATGATGCAAGCCCAGGAAGCGCAGTTAAATTTAGTCAAGGTTACGGGGACTGTTAGTGATCCAGACTACATGTGGGTTATCAGTTCTTATCGCCATGACAAGGAAATCCTCCGCATGAGTGGACGATCGGCTTCTTATCAATGCACCACCACTAGCTTCAACTTCTAGAACGTCTGGTCTGTCCTCGGAGAAATTGACATTTTTTAGTCTGGGGTACGGCACTAACTCGTTGAAGCAGGATTTCTTGGCCAACCGCTCGACAAAGTGACATGAGCACAAACAACTCTGCAATACTTCCTATCTCCATACCATGAACTACCGAATCGCCGTACTACCACTCTACATTCCATCCTCCAATCGCTCATGCACATCCATACGCGAAAACGCCTTATCCACTTCCTTGCTCCAATTGCTCAGAGCCACGATCATCCACTCCAACGCCCCCACCAGATACAGGGCAATACATTGTCCCACCCAGAGGCCCTTGAGGCCCCAGCCATGAAACGCCAGCCAAATGCCGAGCGGCAGTGCACCACAGTAATAGCTAACCAGATTGACCATCGCTCCAACATGCTGGCGACCCATACCACGCAGACTGCCCCCGCAACTGCCGTTCAAGCCATCTGCAATCTGGAATAGTGCAACATACGGCAGCACCTCGGCGGTTAGACGCACAACTCGCTCGTCCGAGTTAAAGATTTTTGCAAAATCATGCCGTGTCCCCATCAGTACAGCCAGTACAACCCCACCGAGGAGAATGCTGAGCCAGGCGGCCGTATTTGCCGCTTTGGCTGCTCCCGGTGCGTTCCGAGAACCTAGGAGGTTGCCCACTCGTGCCGACGTGGCGACGCCTACTCCAAATGGGATCGTGTTGAGTACTTGATCTGCGGTCATGATAACGCTTTGGGCGGCCAATGCGATTGTCCCCAGCCGGCCTGCTGCCAGGGCCACAATCTCGAATGCCCACCATTCCGTGCCGACATGGATGATACCTAGGAAGGCTAGGCGGGCAAAGGTACCCAGATTCTGGAACGCCTCTCGTGACCAACCACCCCAGCATTCGGACCCGGCAATGAACCGGGAATAGAGGACTAACAGGATGAAAGACAACCAGTACGAAATACCAGTGGCAAATGGCGCCCCGAGTAAGCCCATCTCAAAGGTGTAACAAAATAGGTAGTTGAGAAAGGCATTGAAGGGAGATGTAATCATTAGCACATATGTTCCTGGACGCATGATGCCTGGGAACAGCAGAGTTAGTGATAAGGTTCAGAGGCGACACAGCGAGCCGAGTCTCACCTTGAGCTTGCAGATACTTCTTCATCACTTCGAAATAGATATATCCTAAACCACCTGGAATCAAGCAGGTCAAGAATCTCGCACTGTCCCTGGACAGCTGCGGATCTTGACCTAGGAGTAGGAAGACGGGCTCCGAGCATGCCCAAAGGATAGCAACGGGGATGTAGAAGAGACTCAGAACGAAGAAGCCCCTTTGCAGCAAGACACCGAGGTCATGCTTGTTTGAGCTACCCGTGAACGTTGACGAGGCCAACGTATCGAGAGCTGTCGTGCCACCCAAAGCGATCATCCACGCCGTGATCATGGCAAACATCAAGGAAAATGCAGTCGTGGCCAGGTTTTCGGGCGAGGAGCGTCCGACTATCAAAACGGATACGGTCTGCAAGCTGTTCTGGAGTGTATACGCCAGAATAACGGGGATAGAGCCTTTGAACAGAATCCAGAGTTCAGTGAGGTACTGTCTCCAGCCCTCTTCATCAGAACTATGGCTGTCATAGCGATCCGGATCTTCAGGATCGTCGATATCAGTTGGCTTTGGAAGGAGGGAGGTATATTCAGTGGGCTCTTCTTCAGTACTAGGCGTGTCGCCATAGCAAGGAGAACGTTGGCGATACATCTCTACGGAGTTTGGACAGAGGAATTGATAAACTGGTTGACCAGTATTGCACACACACAGATAGAAGTCTCTATATTTGAAGTGAAAGGAGTCATGAGCCTATATTACTTGTTGCATGGGCACCTTGCAGACTGCTCAAACTACTGGCTATATTTGGTTAATGCAAAGATACAAAGTACACAAGTGGATCAGAAGGAGTACCAAAAACCTCATACAGAGGTACAAAGAAGGTATACTAATTACTATTATCGTAATACATACATCGGAACGAACACAGACATCTCAATCACGACCTTGACTGACCCACATAGTTCAGAAATTCTATGAAGTCATTCAATTACCGAGATCACGATAAAGGATAGTCAAAAGTGTCGAGCCACCATTCTATGTGGTAACTCGTCCCTTATCAGTTATGATGCAAGGAATAAGTCGGTGGAATGTCCCACTCGCCTGCAGATAGTCCATTTCCATTTTCTCGAAACAAGTTCCTGATTAGGAAAGGATCGTATCCCCTCCCCTTACTTGGAGTTTAAATCATGACGAGACTTTCTTATCGCTACCCCACGTTCGATCCGAGACGTTATCAGAGACCTGATTGTAGATTGTGAATAACTATGATTAGATTCCCCGCTTATACCTCGTATACTTTAGAGAATATTCATACGTTCAGCAAGAAATGCACCGTATAATCCCGGGGGGAGGGGGTCTGTTATTAGGGCCCACTAGGGCTAAAGCATCCGTTTTCTCAGTATCTACCTAAAGTGTCAACTAACAGTACTGAATTACAGCTCTCCATTCTAGGTCTAGTATGACTATTATATTATTTACTTTAGAATCGTTGGATAGCGTGCCTGTATGATTTATTGTAGATCTGATAGTATTACGGACTTGTTCAATCTTTCTTAGGTTGCTTTCAAGTAGGGTTATCGTATTACGATAGCAGCTATTGCTACAATGCCTTACTCAATCGCATACAGCTCTGCAGAGAGTGCTTTGGCGAGTTATGAATTAGCATATGATAGTGAGGTAGTGAAAATTGTAGTACCAGCAGATTCAGCCTGTAACATAGATGATGGTATAGAAGGAGAATAGACATTGCCCATAGAATCAGTGGACCAAAGGCTCAAAGGGCCGGCGAAAGACCCATCTAGATGAGAAAAGACTTTAAGACAATCAACAGAACCTACAAAACAGTGATAGCTCGTATTGGTTCACATGCTTGATTGACTCAAAGCCCTGAGCAGCTTAGCTATTTTTTGGAGAATTCACCCGGCTTAAGAAGAGTATAACTTTGCTTGTCATGGGTGTCTCCATAGATAGTTCAAGAATCAGAGTAAAAAATATAAAGAAAACATTAGTGACTGCCAATGTATGGTGCTTATTGGTTGTAGCAGCGCATGCTGCTAAGCATTCCCTCGGAACGTATTGTCTTCCTAAACCCTAATTTATGGCCGAAGAGATAAGGCATGCTTCTGATATGCCTCAAGAGTCTGATTCGATGGCTTGTGTGTCGACGTACTCTGACCTTTGTTCTTATGCAGGCACCGTATGTTACACATTAAACTACCAGGCCTTGATAACTGTTTCTTACGCCGGAATTTGTATATATACTTTGATTAAACATGCCCCAGATGCCCACTCATTATACTAGACTTCATAACCATGGACGAAAAGAAGAAAGACATCTCCCTCGGTGACATGGGTACCGACATAGTTCACAGTGACGAGAAACGCCTACCATTTCCTATCAAAAGTGTCGAGCGAGATGGCGTGAAACTCCATCCCCCGCCAACCTCGGATCCCCTAGACCCTTTAAATTGGTCTAGGGTTCAGAAGCACTCCATTCTGGGAATAGTCATGCTGAAGTATGATGCTTCTGCCTTCATAGCTATGCCAGATAGTGCTAACTCAAGCCAGATATTTCCTTTTCACTTACATCACTACCACGACCGTCCCTTCATTTCCCGAGATCCAGTCCCAGTTCAGCATCAACTACTCACAGGTCAACTGGACTGTGGCTATTCCTGCTCTGGGCTTGTCTGTGGGCCCGTTATTTTGGTCTTCATTGAGCGATATCTACGGACGTCGAATCATCTTCATCATAGGGACAACCATCTCTTTGGTGGCCACTATTGGTGCAGCGGTGGCTGACACGTATGGAGGGTATATGACTGCTAGATTCTTTCAAGGGTTCGGTGTTAGCCCGGGGTCAACAGTAGGCATGGCTGTAGGTATGTACGTCTTACACTCTTAATTTTGTATCTTGCAAGTCTCTAATGAAGACAGTCAATGATCTTTTCTTTGATTATGAACGCGGGCAGAAACTAGGATTATGGGTTCTGGCCATCGACTCAGGACTCCTTCTGGGCCCTACCTGTACGCTGTTCTCCCAGTCTCCCTACTAGCAGTTAGACCAGATCTAAAATGCTAACATTATGTTTCTCAGTCGGCGGGTTCCTCAATCTCGTGAGCGCAGCATGGATCAACTGGTTCAATGCGATCCTCTTCGCCGTCCTCCTCCTCCTCGAACTCTTCTTCATGCCCGAGACTCTCTACCCACGCACCCGCATGCTCCAGCACATGCCTAAAGACCCCTCCCCATGCTCAACGGACATCGAACAGCCCCAAGAGAAGTGTGAAGCAACACCCAAAGCGACATTACAGGTTACAGAAACAGATACAATACCTCGGACAAAGGCTCTCAAATTCTTTAACATCCGGCCCATCCCCGGCCTGCGCCATCCAAAACCTTGGGATGCCACCGTGCGCTTCTTTCTTACCTTTCAATTCCCTGTTGTCGTCCTCGCCGTCCTCGGATACTCATTTCTTTGGTATTGGTGGGTGTTATCCGTGATAACCATGGTACCAGCAGCGTACGCAACATATTCGCCATTGATCCAAGGCCTATTATTCCTGGGGTTATTTATCGGGACGCTAGTATCGGAGGTGTGCTGCTCAGGGAGACTGAGCGATTATATTGTCAAACGACTAGCAAGGAAAAACGAGGGCGTACGAATCCCAGAGATGAGGTTATGGTTAGCCTATCCTGCTATTGTGATCACTGCTGGTGAGTCTATGTCGCCCAAAGAACCCATCGGTAGAGCGCTATATCTAACGAGGTTATCAAAAGTCGGATTAATAGTTTGGGGCATCAGCATCGACAAAAGCTACCACTGGATGATCGGACAAATAGCATTCTTCTTATGTAAGTCCTCGCCATTCTTCACTTCTCGCTCCCTCCCCTCTTCACCACTCAATGACTGATACCTTCGTACATTACAGTCTCATCAGGAATCCAAATCGGCAACACAGTAACAAGCAGCTACATAATCGACAGTTACCCGCTTCAGTCAACCAGTGTCGTCATTTTCTACGCTGTGTTCCTCAACCTGAGTGCTTTTATCAATCCTGTACGTAACCCCATACATATCTATCAATTGATCAGGACGCTGACAATATACAGTTCTTCATCGCCAACTGGCAGGCCTCTTCCGGCTGGACGTGGACATTTACAGCACAAGCCCTGATAGTGCTTGTCGCTGGAACGGGCGTGTTCGCTGTGCTACAACGATACGGGGCGTTACTGAGATCCAAAGCGAAGGTACCGGGGTGGGTGAATCCGGAGTTTGATTCTTGAGTATATATGTGGGGAGACTTGGGTATTTGGTTCACTGTGTATATTTTGGTATCAGGATGTCGGACTAGATGATAAATAAGGTAGATAGTACGAAAGGTCTGGACTTGTATGATTTATGAAGTTATGAGAATCTGAAGACGTCTTATCATTAATTATCGTTATCCATTATATATGATTATTAGTTGGGTGGGTTTATTTATGAACTGCATTGCGAACCATGGGTCGGTCCCGTCTTTGAGCAACCCCTTTTCTATCATACGGTACATTTCACGGGGTAAGTTATATATCTATTTTAGAATTTTCAAGTTGGGAACAGGACATGGTAGCTGAGACAATGTTCGAATTTAATGTGTTTTCGGTTCTGGTATAGTGTAGTGTTGTTAGTTGTTTTTTGGATTGAATAGAGATACACACAATGGGCGCCACCAGGTACGAGGAGACAAATTAATATATTCGAACCGTATAAGTACCGGGTTTATTGTACAGTATTCTGGGATAAGTCGTAGAAGCAATATAAATATATGATACATAAGAGACTGGAATAGTATAAGAATAAGTAACCAATAATCAATAGAAAAAGACAATGTGGTGGAAAACCAGAGGATAAGCCGAGCATTGATATAGTATGAGAGCAGTGATACAACAACGGTTCCGGTCTAGGCCTCATCCAGCCAACCGTGAAGAGGCAAAAAGGCAGAAAAAAAAAAGAAAAAGGGAAAAAAAAAGGGAAAAAGAAACTTCTCCGCCCCCCACAATTTCATCCCGTCCAAAAACAAAAATTCCCCTGCAATCGCATTTCTTGCAACAGCCACAGGATTCTAATTATCACTAATCATCATGGGTAACGTAAGGGCTCTCGCAATATGTCTTGCTTCTTTTTTTCTCGGGAGAAGGGACTGATGATATGTCACCAGGGAGCCAAAGCCGCCTCTAAGCGTGAGCGCAATGCCAAAGACGCAAAGGGTACTGCGAAGTCGCAGCTCAAAGCTGTATGTTATCTATACTGGACAGCGCAAATGTGATTGATTGTCGAGCTCACAGATTACAGAACGAAGCTGCCAAGGATATCATCTGCAGCGTTTGCAGGCAGACTTTCCTCAAGACTACTCGTGGTCCGGCCCTGACTGAGCATGCTGCTAATAAGCACAGCAAGACGCTTCAGGAATGTTTCCCTACTTTCGTGGAGGCTCCTAAGAAATAAACGGGAGATTGCCACTTGAGGTTGATGATGTTTTCTTGTGCTTATGTGGGGATGATGTGCATTCTTTCAGTTGCGGTGTTTTGGCTTTCTTTTCTGTGTTCACAGCGAAGGCGATGATGTAGCATGAGTATACCATAGGGTATTGAATCGGAGCATGACAGCGTGCGCTTTTATCTTGTTCATGTCGAAAGAGTCCATAGTAGTTACGTAGTTGCACGAGATTGAAGTCAGCCGTGGGTTAATGGCTTATAGGGGCCACAGAGCATACAATCACTGGCCGGGGTGTCTTTCATATTTGTCAGCTACGGATCAATGGATAACTACATGTTGGAAGGCTAGCTTTCCAGAAGTTCTTAGAGATGGTTCTAATTCCTATCTAGATGTGGCCATTGCAATAGATTAGGGCATTAGTTGCTCTGTCATTAGTACCATCAACATTTGTATAGAAATCAAAATATCTTGATATTTCGAATAGCTTCAATTCAAAAGGCATCTCATTTGGGTGACCCGCTCGAACGTGCAACTTGATCGCTCGAGGGCAGCCCCGTTGTAGAGCAACAGCTTGATCACCTGCTCATTTCCCTGCATAGCAGCATATGCCAGTGGTGTCCAGCCAAGATCGTCCTCAGATTCTATATTAGAACCGTTGTTGAGCAGGAGTTTGACTATACCCTCATATTCAGAGAATACAGCAACTGTTAACGGTGTCCAGCTGCCAAACTCTCTAGATTCTATATTAGAACCTTTCTCGAGCAGCAGTTTGACCATACTCTCATGTCCAGCGCGTGCAGCAGCTTTTAACGGTGTGACGCCATAGCTATCTTTAGATTCCATATCCGCGCCTTTCTCAAGTAGCAACCTGGCTACATTCTCATGTCCCTTGCAAGCAGCAATGCCCAATGGTGTGTTATTGTTATAGTCTTTGCACTCTAGGTCAGTGCCCCTCTCGAGGAGTAAATTAACGAATCCACTGTATCCAACTTCTGCAGCTATTAATAGCTGTTCCTGGTCATATTCCGTGCCTTTGAACTTCTGATCAGAGCCCTTTTCAAACAACAGCATGAGGACATCATCATGTTCCATTCTAGCAGCGTATGCTAGTGCTGTGCAACCATCCTCAGATTTGCATTCTATGTTAGCGCCCTTTTGGAGCAGTGCCTCCACAGCTGATTTGTGCCCGCGCGCCGAGTACCATCGCAGTGCTGAACTTCCGGAGAACCTAATGTTGTGATTGTATAGAGGACCTCCTTGCTGGATAGCATAGATTCGGCGACTTGTCAATAGAAAGGAAAGAATATCCTTCTCACTATCCAGCTCCTCGATGATCATAAGTAGTAGTTCGCTTGGAAGATGGAGAAGAGACATCGTGGAGGAAGAGATAGTCTGATAATATAGGAGTTTCCCGGCTATCTTAAGTGAAGTTTCCCCTATAATGACCGAATCGAATCCTCGATGATCGTAAAGAATGAGAGTTGATCAGCGTCACGAAGGGAGGGAAGAGTTGTGTGAACCGTCATTCTCAATGACTTCACCATGACCAGCATCGCGCGGTATCCTCGATCGCTTAGGTTTATAAGCGAATACGTTTAACGGTTATCAATGGGTTCTAAAATGAAATAAATCATTGAATCTGACCCATAATTCTTCTTTAGTCAGTTCATCTGAGCATTTGTGTAATGTCGTATCCCCTGAGAATCGGGTATCAAATATATGGAGAGAGAGAACTAAATGAAGGTATAGCGGATTGCCCTATTTAGTAACTAGTTATCTATAAGTAACATCACCTGACAGTTATTCGTAAGTCGATACCCATTTCAATCTGGCAGTTTAATATATGTACTCCACATTCAATACCAGTCAAAGTATCTCTTTCCAACTCAAGAGTGACAGTACCTTTACTGTATTATCTCTTATTTTGATTCATATGCGATAACCTTGGCTTTTCCTTGTCCCGGAACAGAATTCCTTGATATTATTGTGCGGTTCGTTTGGAGCTTGCAGTTCTATTTTGCTTCGTAATCACTGGTTTCAAGCGAGTATCAATACAGTCAAGGCAAGGAGTGACCTCCTCAAAGATGGGGATAGAGCTTCTGCCGCCTTGGTGACGGAGAGTTCATGTCCCTTCTATGTTTTATCTGGTTGCTCGTTATCTTTCACGCCTCATCTTGCCGCCTTATTGATTTACCGTGTTGTGGCGGGATACGGTTTGTTCGTGTATCAAGTGCAACCCCTTACCGCATCAACGTGATGATGAAGATGTATACAGCAGTATGTCTTCAGTCGTTAGTTCCACCCAATAGTATACTCATATCAGCAGTCAAGCCCTTTGAGCGTCAAGATAAAGCCGTCTTGATGCCCACATGAACACAAGGTCCTTTTTGATTGCATCCCACATAAAGTCTAAATTTAAAGTTAAGATAGCCCCGATCTGAAAGGTGGACACTGGAAAACCGTTGTTGGAAATCGTTGCCACTGGGGCAAAGAGTGGAATACACATTGACGGAGTCCCGATTTTCTTACCTATCCCAAACCTTATCCCTTTCACGAGCTGCCATGTTCAGGAGCTCGCCTACTCGGACTGCTCGGATAGACCCAAGCCGTACATGTCTACTTTATCTCGACATCGACATCCCCCTTGCATGAGTCCAAACGCCACCTCACAACCTGCAAACCAAATGTGGACCTATGTAGCTGAGCTCCAAATGTCCTGAGATGTCACGTTCGTTTTCTATCGAATTCTTCTAAGAGATATCCACATAGGGATGACACTATTGATTTCCAGATCACGTTGAACAAAGTGTATCGGTGGCAACAAAATAACGCTTACATATCTAGTTAATGTCCGCGATAGATTTTCGTCCTTGCATAGAGTTTCGATATCGCAATCGATTGCAGGACTCCTTTCACTGAGGGCCTTTGGGATTGTCCTTGCGTAGGACACCGTTTATCCTGGACCCTGAGTAGATTTTCGGGCCCTTGCGCCGCTTGATAGCTGTCATTAATATCAGTCCAGGGCGATCAAGGGGCTGGGACATCTCTCATTATCGAGCTCGGGTTCGTCTTTCGCGTGATAACCGAGGTGGCCAAATATGAGATCACAATATGCCGTGGCGGTTGTATCACCTACGCCCCTGCACTATGTATTCCGTACATATGCATGGGTTGGCGAACCGTTGGAAAATCGAATCCCCAATCAGCCTAGGCTGTACCCAAATGGAGTATCCGATCATCGGTTCTGAAACTCTGGGGCCGGCTCTTGGTTTCCCCCCCCCTCTAATTACAATTCCTAGAAAGGTTACTGCTAATTTTACCTATGTTGCTCCACTATTCCCTGGCTGGCAGGCTCTTCCGGTCCGCCGGCTGCGAACTCTCTGCATGAAGGGTCTTCTTTAGTTGCGTTTATTGGGACTCCCTGCTGTCATACACCATAAAGCTTACTTGAGCTTATGATGTACGGGTGAATAGAGGAAAGGAGAAAGAGGGCGTCTTCACGATCGCAGCAACCTCGGCCGCTTCGAGATTGTGTGGCTAGCGCAGATGGCACGGACCTCAGGACTACCATCACTAGAGGGGATGTACTCCGAGGCCTACATCAAGCAAGTAAAAGATCGACTGGTGTTGACGACGGACTTCGCCGGACTCAAGGGAAATATTGGTGGTTAAAGTAAGTCGAGTCAGGCATTCCCTCGTAAGTTCTCTAGCGGTGTACATGTATAACCGTTGATAGCGTTGTCTACCGGAGATTGTGATGCGCTGGAGTCGTAGAGCAGTTGCCCTAAGGAGGAACATCGGGTTATTATAGTAACCATGGTGGACCCCGGGCCGGCTTTGAGAACCTCTAGGCTCTTGTCAATTCCACCTTTCACAGTTATGCCCTCGGCACAAAGGGTCTCCATCTGACTTGGATTGTTTTGATTGCAGGACTTACTCCGGAGCATTCGGTTTGAATGTCTTGTTGCCTTCCCTGTCTTCATTACGAATTTCATATCAAGGTTTGGAGTTGGGGGATTGGGGGTTTGGATCCTTGAGGGCAATTGCGATCAACGAGTGATATTTTACTGACTAATGGTTTTTAGCTCGACGACGAGGTTAATTGCTTTAATATGTTTGTTCGTATAACCGGAATTAATGACATCAATTAATTGAGCCATTATGAGGGGCAGAGTATGGGATGTATCATGCAACCGTCAAATTAGAGAACTAAGCCCTAGTGCTCCTTATGGATATTAGCCATGTGGACGTAAGAGAAACACCCATAATTGAAGTTCACTCTAGTGGTTCGCGCTAGGACCTTGTGTTGTCTTGCTTTTCGCATCCTAGGAAAAATCCCACGCACGGATATACTTAATAATTAGCATTAATGACCAAAATTTCGATTAGTGGGATGTCGTAGGGTAAATGGCGGATTGGTCGAAAAATCCCATACAGACATTGGCGGGTATCCTCAGTTGCTCATTACCTGAAGTCGTTCGACATGGTCTCCTCGAAGGAGTTCATCCGGCACTGCCGGTTGTCCCGTCTTTGTGTACTTAGTATAGAAACACTGGAACTGGAACCGTGATGTCAACCCACTGACAGTTGGGTACAGGAGGACCCGCACCTCCGCTGAAGCAACGGACTGTGTCAACTCAGCGTCAAGCTTTTGCATCTGGTCTCCTCATTGCACGTGCGAGGAAAGTCTGGGCATCGTGACTCCGGTCCGTCTTAATTTCGCTTGCTTCCGCGGGAGCCTTAGGTTTGCTAGTCACCTGGCAGGCCCGAACGGTTCCCCGTTGTGGTCATTTCTCCAGTAGTTTATCCAGGGTAGCTAGCTGCCTTTGTTTTGCGTTTTACTTTTTGCTTTGCATTTGTTTACGAGGACGGAGACTAGGAATTGATTGTACGTACCTAGGTCGAGTTTTAAACATGTCTTGATCTATTGGGGGGTTCTTTGCTTTTTGTGTTCTCAGTTTGTAGTAGTTCATGGAGCGGTCAAGGTAGGACTAGCCTATGCGTATGGATCATACAATCCGCTTGCTCCCAGGAGATCTTGCATATAAGATCTATGGTTCAGATAGAGATAAACATGCAGCTTCTCCATCTTTTGACACCACCCATATTATTGATCCAGACGGTATTACCAGGTTCTATCGTGGAAAATTCTTCGGGTTCCTGGATTGTTCCGCCCGGTAGCGAACCATGGGAACTGGCCAAGATTACCCAGTGGTGCGGACACCCGTCATGCATTACTAGTGGACAGTTACTCAGGGGTAAAACCGGTCATCGAAGAAGGGGGAAAAGTTCGCAGATTTTGACACCCACTGCAGTTTATACCAGTCACGAACTGGTTGATATTTCGATCCGCATATGCAAGAGGGATAATTTCCCTAGAGGTGGTATGTTTGTATGGTACGGAGGAAATAGTCAGTCAATACTCCGGCGATAGTTCACTAATAATCCTCCGTCGAAGTACAGTAGTAATGATGGCCTGAGGAACGGACCAGGACGGTTGCCGATCTAGGTCTAGACTTGGTTGCAGTGGCTCCCCCTGGCGTGGTTGGTGTTCCGTAATGGTATTAGCCAGCTTTGCCAGTTTCATGGATTCTTTTTGGATCGTTCTCATCGCTTTTGGAATGTTCATATCGAAATTCCTTCGATAGATGCACGGAGTAGGTGGATGTACCTCCTACTTTCACCTAGATAATACCCAAAGGTTGACTTGGAATACGTCCTGGATAGTCGAAAGGAGACAACGCCCAGTTTGCCCGCCGTTCGATGATTTATGGTTTGGTATTTTTATACTACGTATTACTTGTATTTTTATTATTATCATTTTTATTTTCCGCCTCTTCTCCTGGTGGCTTAAGAAAACTCCACATAGGCAACTAGTATCGAGATGGAGGGGCGCAAATATGAACCTGCATATCTTTAGGGAAAAAAAAAAAAAAAAAAAAAAAAAGACAGAAAG